GCATTTTCAGTTATTTTTCTGCAGTACTGAACTTTATGATAAAAAGAAATAAAAATATTTTTATTTTGGGGGTAATAGTCTATAGTAATCCCTCGACAGATTTTAACAAATCCTTGCTCTATTTACGTAAAAAAAATATATATGTAATTTATTATTATGGTAGGAAAATTAGATCTTGATCTTGAAAGCTTGGAACTCTGCCAAAGATACAAAATTTGTAGGCCCTGTAAAATTAATTTGTAGGTCCTGTAAAATTAATTTGTATGTATTTTCAAACTAGTTTACATTTTATTTTTAAGGGCTACATATTTATTGTAATTCTTCAGGTAAGCCCCAACATGTAAGCTATATGGCTGGCATAGGTTTCAAGTTCATTAAACATTTTTATGCCTCCGCCACCGAAGGTGGTGCCGGAGGCATCATGTTTTCGGGTTGTCCGTCCGTACGTCCGTACGTCCGTCCGTCCGTCCGTCCCGTTTGACCGTTATCACAATATCTCAAGAACCATTTAAGATTTAAACTTAAGACTCGGGAATAGTATTAATCACCATAGGAAGACGATCTGATTAGATTTTGGAGTACGTAGGTCAAAGGTCACAGGTCACAGAGGTCAACTTATGAAATTCCTTGTATTGAGTTTGTTAGCGCGATATCTCAAGAACCATTTGAGATTTAAACTTCAAACTTAAGGATAGTATGTATCACCATAGGAAGACGATCTGATTAGATTTTGGAGCACGTATGTCAAAGGTCAAGGGTCACAGAGGTCAACTTATGAAATTCCATACATTGAGATTGTTATCATGATATCTCAAGAACCACTGGAGATTTAAACTTCAAACTTAGTGCTAGTGTGTATCACTATAGAAAAACAATCTGATTACATTTTGGAGCACGTAGGTCAAAGGTCAAGGGTCATAGAGGTCAACTTATGAAATTCCATACATTGAGATTGTTATCATGATATCTCAAGAACCACTGGAGATTTAAACTTCAAACTTAGTGCTAGTGTGTATCACTATAGAAAAACAATCTGATTACATTTTGGAGCACGTAGGTCAAAGGTCAAGGGTCATAGAGGTCAACTTATGAAATTCCATACATTGAGATTGTTATCATGATATCTCAAGAACCACTGGAGATTTAAACTTCAAACTTAATGATAGTGTGTATCACCATAGGAAGACAATCTGATTAGATTTTGGAGCACGTAGGTCAAAGGTCAAAGGCCACAGCGCACATTATGAATGCAAAAACAGCTTGTGATCGCGTTATCTCAAGAACCGATTGATGGATTCATGCCAAAATTAGGTCATGTTTGTTACTTGCAGAGCCAATGAACTGAGTAGATTCTTGGTTCATAAGGTCAAAGGTCAAAGGTCATGGGCCCATTATGTATGCAAAAATAGCTTGTGAACGCATTCTCATTAGAACTGACAGATGGATTACTATTTAACTCAGAACATCTTGCAGAGCCAATGAACTGAGTAGATTTTATGGTCATGAGGTCAAAGATCAAAGGGTCATATATGTATATGAGAAATTGCTTGTAATCACAATATTCTGAGAACCTGTCAATGGATTACCATTGAACGTGAATTCAATTTTTTTTTTCTGTTTTGGTTTGTAAAATTGCTCTATAACGGAGGCATCATTTTCGACTGCGCGCAGTCGAATTCCATCTAGTTTTTTATTAGATGTATCCATCAAATGTTGAATGCTCCTTGCTGTATGATATTATTGGAAATATTAATTTTTCAAATGAAATATGCTTTGATCATTTTTAAATGAACAACTACTATATCTTGGTCTATTCTGTTCATGCCATGGCTAGTTGCAGATCATATTACACAGATGTACGTGTACATGAAATGGTACTATCATTCCCAATTTTCTCATGGAATTTCATCCATGTACATGTCTGCATGAAGCGACGTCTTTTGATGAACAAAAGGGTGTTTGGTTTGCCTAGCTAGCTAGCTTGCCAGACTGCTACTAATGTTATTAATTGGTAGTGTCCAAGCGTTTGCTCCTTTTATCAATCTCCCCTGCATGAATATTTCACGCAGCATAGAGAGAGAGGGGATCATGCATAATACACCCTTGGCTGCTACGTTCAATGCTTCCATACGAGTGAGCGAGCATTGAGCATCTACTGCACAGCGCCGGGTCCCAAGCTGCCGGTATGTGTGCCGCACGCACACTGCACAGTCTGCCTGCATGTTGCACCACTCCACACCAAATTCATATATTGAACCAGTCTTGGGGTTTTGTGTGCGCTCAGCCCAAATTATTTGTCTCTTTGTTACTCGCATAAGTGTATGCTTTTCCTTCCTTTTCCCTGCTTCCGTATCATATGGAATATCTTTACATTTGATTCCTTGATACCTTTTTGGTAATTGATCATGGATATGCATTTTAGGGAAACACATACATTTACATGCAGTTTTAGACTCTTTGTCACAATAATTCTACAGAATGCCATTAGAATTGTTAACATATTGATATATTAGAAAGTATTTCCTCTATATAATTTAAATTTTATATTTTAGTGAATATCATATGGTTTTGTAGGTTTTCCGTACTAAGAATTTATGGCTTGTATCAAGTTTCATTTGAGTAGATATCCCATCCGATAATGTAAAAGTTGCATGTATGGCATGTAATGTAGGTTAGGTCAATCTAATTAGATGAGTAGGCCTGCATGTAATCATCAAACAACAAACAAGGACAATTCACACTTCATTCATACTCTATTCATGGGTAATAGTCATAACATGTGCTAATTATCGCTCCTTTATTTGTATGTAAACACTGGCAGTGATTATTGTTACTTCCTCATGGGCAGTAATGACAACAGTCGTAACCATGACGATAACCGTAAACAAATAACAACGTTGTCCTTGTCATTCTTGAGGCTGTGCGGGTTAATAGCAGAACATGTAGAATTTATTGTAAAACTATGAACTTTGCAACATTAAGCTTTTACAAATTTATGTTAACGATTCAAGAATTTGCGAAAGTTTCATGCATGTGCAAATTTCTGATTTTACTGTAATTATTTCAGGAATAATCATGTATGAAGAGAGAAGTACAGGAATATTCTATTACGTAATAGAAATATCTGTAAATGTACATGTATATGTACATAAGCAGGAAGGATTCATATTTTACTGAATGAAGAAATATACAATTTGTGAATTAACATGTATTTTAATAGTAGTAAATAGAAAAGATGAATTTGAAAGAAAACTTTTCCATGTCAGCCTTCATGTTTTGAATGATATTTGTCATGAAACATCAAAGTTATGAGTATGAGGCCTTTTTTAAAACTTGACAATATCATTCTGCATGGGATGTATTGTAAACAAACTTTTAAAATACTGAGGAAGGAAAACATGCATAAAGGGATATACTGACTTAGCAAACATTTACATGTATAACTAGTAAATCTTATGATGATCCCTTCACTGTATTTTCAAAGACACATGTTTCCCTTTGAGCCTTGAATACATTTTTAATTTTTTGTAAAACTTTGATTACATTATATACATATATCCAGACATGTATTGTGTAAGCACAGTTTGTTGACCCTGTGAATGTGTACAGTGGGCGGAATGACCATGCATTGCAGCGGGAAACACAATCCTCTGTTGTAGTGTCCACAGGCTAGTAGGAAGTATGTACAAGTAGAAGGTCTGGTAGTAGTGAGTTTTGTGGAATCAATGCATTGCCAAGGTTGGAAGTGTGATCTACATTATCACTTTGTCCTGAGACAGGGTCAATATGACCATGCAGATACACAAAGGTCAATAAGGAAAATCATTGTGATAAAGAAAACCTCCATGTAAAACAAATTAAATTTGATATGGGTGCACTAGGTGCAGGATAGTGATCAAATAAAATGTTAATATTTCTTATTTGTGAGGTCTAGTTAGTAGTACATGTATGTAGTTTATTTGTTGTTTCATTTTCTCTCAAAATGGTATGAAATGGATAACATTTACTGATTTCTATTCTCTTTTTTTATGGTGTTCTGAAGGCAAACTCTGCTTTGTTGGTGTTTTCCTCTTGTTTTTGCAATATTTAATGGATTGCTCTTTACTGTCAAATACATTGTTCAGTATTTTGTCTGAAGGAAATGAACATGAATTTCAATTTTAATTTTAAAATTTTTTCAAAATAATTCATAAATGTAAGATATTTTGATGTTTCAGGCAGACATTTTGCGTCAAATAAAGATAAACTGGAATCTAATCTTAGATCCTTCATGGCTGTAATGTACATGGGATACACATTTAGCTGCATTTACACTGCAAGCAAAAATCATTTATTTTTCTCAAATTCTTGTGTCTCATCATTAGTTGCTAAGCAACCACCATCAAACACAACAAAAAATCTAAATTTAAAAAATCGACCTCTTGTACTGAGTAGAAATCGCACCTATTTTGCAGTGTAAATGACCGCTCTCAATACATTGGTGAATGATACCAGTTTTTGGTCACATGACTCTCCTCGCTTTCGTGCGATCGCATGCAGAGCAGAGAGACAAGTCACACATGCGCACTTCTCACCAAAAAGTTGGAATGAGGAAACACCAGGAACCCGTTTCACAAAGCTTTTTGTCAATGACAAATGACAAAAATCAGTGACAAATCTGCTAATAACCAATCAGAAGCAAGGATTTCAGTAGCTTATCACACAAATTGTCATTTGTCACTGAAGACAAGTTTTGTGAAACACCCCCCAGGTTTTTCCAGTAGTGTAAATGGCAGTCCAAAATATTGATAATTTTTCAAAATGGTGTTTGGGCTGTGTAAATGAGCCTATTGTACATTGTACATGTAGCACTGACACAAAGCATATTTCCGATTTGGGCTACATCGAATTAGCAAGAATCCTGTACATTGTGGCTGATGCCAGAAATAGTGTAGACACTCAATTAATTAATCATACTTGTCTGAACTAATTATATATCGTCTCCGTTACTTTGTCAACAGAATTAGGCAGCAACTCCAAAATCCGCACATCTTGCCCACACCACGACCAATCACAGCAGCCCTACAGCCTGAGGCGAAAGGCGGCATCAACTCTATGCTCTGGCAGATGGGACTTGGTAAGCAAAAAACCCATCATGATCGTATGTCCCTTTAGCTCTCCTCTGCTTCCCTTACTATTTAGTAGGCAAGTTGTTGGGTGAGAGCAAGATGGGCCTTGATTCATATCTGGTAATACAGAATTAATGCCCTTATTTTTTAACATTTTTTTTTGAGGGGGGGGGGGGGGGATACAATTTAATAGTGGGCACTGTACTCCAAATCTACTGGTATTCAGAGTGGTGTGCACTGAGAAAAGATAACTACTATTTTTATGCAATTTAGCCTTCTTATTTGCCAAAGAGATATGAATTTGAATAGTACTGGTACTTCAAAAGGTAATGTAATAACCTTGATAGGGCGCGATCAATGTCATTTTATTAGACTCATAAAGTCAGATTTGGTTATTTTAATAATAATTCTGATGTTGTAAACCCCTAGAAATTGCAAAAAAAATGTTCCCTATTAAAATGCCTTTCATATGATATAGGGATATGGAATTGAACACTACATATTCCTATCATGATAGCATTTGACATTGTAGTCACAATTAATTCAGAAGCGTTCATAATACATAGCGCTTAAATTGCTTAATTCCCGGGTTGAGGATAAATTAATATCCTAAATGAAAGCTGCCTTTCGGTTTATTGCACTTGACATTGTGCATGGCATGTATGAAATGAGATTACAATGCAAGCAAAGGGCATCCATGCTGGGCCATGATAGAGGGAGACAAACCATTGGATAAACGATGAATGTGAGATATGCCGCTTTCATAATGTAATCATGACGAGCAGCCATGGCAGATCACCTCAAAGATTACATGTCAGTAGGTAGTCATGTATACATACATATACAGTGTACATCCATATCGTCGCTGTTTTCACGAAGTGACGGTAGTGAAAAAAAATTGCATTCACTTTGCGTTACGATTTTCCTCATTACCGTCACTTCGTGAAAACAGGGACGATATAAATATACACTCATATTGACATACAGGCTAAATATGTTCATTGTAATGCTTTTTATCGTTGTTGAATTTTAAAATTGTCAAATTTAATCCCCATTCTGACATGACGCAATAAATTTCTTAACAAATACACTACAGCTATAAAATTTAATGTGTAAGTGAATTGCAAAAGGTCATGTTGTTGGAGTAATATAGGTGTGTGTCATTTAAAGCAAACCTCACCCCAAGAAATAACTTGAGATTTATTATATTGTTACCCATTTATTTACAAGATTCCCCACCAAACTGCATGAGAGAGGCATAAAGCAAGAATAATGTACAGTTCCTAATCATGACATGGGCATCGCCATTTTCTTGATAATAACCTGTGACGTACATGTATATGAAGTTGTGTATCAAGTCAATTTATGGATGTTTCCTTCCCAGGTGTGTGTGGTGATGAAGCATTTCATTCACCTGCTATTATCCTTTGTACTACAGTTGCAAGAAGGCAAATTAAATAAATAAGTTGGCACTCTTCTGGGTGAAGGTTTCTCATAAATGAAACAGATTTTTCAACTGCTATATTTTAGTATTTTTAAATTAATAAGTGACGATTGTTCCCCTGGTCTATATTTTTCACCAAATATAATTTCTATCTTCTCAGCTATGATTTGTACTCATTGAACAGTAAAGGTTTTGTTATTGATTTTAAAAATCTTTCCAACTAAACCTTGGTGCATGAGACAAGTACACCTTCACCAAGTACCTCACAATATCAAGAAAATGACTGTGCTCATGGCATGCCAAAAGGCATCACATTATGCCAAGAATATGACTCATGTACATATTCGTAAGAAATATTGTACATCAAAGAGCAGGAATACATTTCACTTTTATTCAGAATACCTACACTTATTCTTTGGGGTGAGGTTTTCTTTAAGATACACACATTCAAAGCTTGTCTCATCCCATTTCAGTTTTCTTTAGCCATGATCTTGCATTGATTATTGGAAGGAGAACTTAGACAATATTAATTTAGATACTGACAATGTTGAATACTTAGAAATGAGGATACTGTGTGAATAGTTAATTTACTCTGGCAAAGATAAAGGCAGCGGGTATCGGTTAGCTAATTGATTTCAAGTGATGAACTTTAACTTCTTTGAGACATACACATGAGAAGATTATGCCCAACAATCTACACGAGGGCTAAGGGTAGTTTGCCCCTACTTGTAGAGAAAGGGTCCCATAGCCCCCTTTAGCCCCTGAACTTTCTGTCTCATGAATAATTAGAATTGAAAAGTGCCCCTTCCCCCTCCAGGATAGGTATAGGGTTGGTTGTGCCGCAATACAGGTTCACATAATTATTTCATTCAGATGAAGTTATTATATTGTTTTTTTTAAATATTCATTCTAGGCAGGTCAGTTAACAAAGTTTGACAATTTGAAATAGCGATAACATTTTCAAATAGGATTAATTAACATCCTCCAATGAAATTTCTCAAAATAATGTATTGATTCCATCAATTAATTTGTTCAATTTACTGTAGAGCCTGTAATTTATAACTCATATTAATATTTAATAACCTGAACAAAACAAGATAATGGAATTTAAAGAGAGAGAGAGAGAGAGGTGGGGGGGGGGGGAGAAGGGAAGAGGGTTTCCTGCAAGGTTAAAAGTTTGAATTTATGTTCTGATACAATATCAGGCACTGAAGACTGAAAACATGTGTATGATCTATTTCTCATGTACATGTACAATAAATGATTTGGCAGCGACTTGAGAATGATGCATCTAAACTCTGTTGTATGAGGAAACCGTTTTGATGGGAGAGGAAAGAATTCCAGAAGCTGAATCACTGTGAATCAGTGTGTAAACTCCTTATCTCTCGTTCATCAAGCCAAAACTTTCATACCCAAACGCTGCATGTTTTCTTGTTTTGAGGCAAGAACCTCTAGGTCAAGTGCACTGCACATGTAGTTTCTCTTTCGCACTGTATCGAGACAGGAACAAACACACAAAGGGTGGTCTCTTGAGAATTCAGTCATTGTCAATCCAGATATATTTCTGCTTTGCATGATTTCTAGAAACTGCCAATAATAATTGTAGAAGCCTCAGATAATTGCAGTTTCAGGAGAAGTCTGATGTTCATCTCAAATTGAGTAAAGGCTATATTTGTTTTTGATAAGAGGTATCATATGAAAACAATAGTGTTATGCATGAAAGTATGAGCATTGCAAACATGTGTAAATGTACCATATGTACATTTATGTGGCTGTATCTGAAGGTAAAATATGCTGCATACAGCAATGGTGACTTCTGGAAGATATCTGGCTCAATTGATTGTATTTGTTTATCAAGTATATGTACGTTCAGATCATAAAATATGCAGGAGAGAGAATGAATATATGACCAAACATGGATGACCCATGAAAGCCATCATAAATAGCTTATTTCTTGAAACTTTCCACAAAATCTGTTCTTGTGAAAATAAGGAGTTATTTCAGTAACTTGGGAGATGAGATAGCCCTGAGTCCCTTTATAGATTCTGATGTTGATATCAACCGTTTCCCAGTTCTCTATCAAACTCACAGAATGTAATTAAGTTTGATTTATTTGATATGACTAGCACAAATTCAGTAGGCCTATAATAATTGTCAGATTTTAACAAATTATGCATAACATGCTACATGTACATCCTGTATGATATTTTTATAATTTTATTACATGTGATTGTCTACTAGTATTTAATGGTGATCTAAGTGAAAGTGATATCAAATTAAATCAAGGCTCTGCTTTTGCCCCTCCATATGCTATCAAATGCTTTTTACATGTACTGTACAAGTTAAAATGTGTTTAAAAGTAACAAGTCCTTTCAAAGGTGTAAGAAAAAGAGAACAATAATAGTTCATCACCCATATACTGTACGTGTAAAACGTCTGAAACAAGGCAAGCACGTTTGGAAAGAAACATGAATTAAGCAAAATCGAGAGAGAGAGAGAGATATATAGAGGGGCCCTTTTGCTTGGTTGACTTGCAGGGAAGCACACACAGGAAAGTCTGTGATTACTATCGAATGGCACATGGGAGGGAAGTATCAGTCATAGTTGTTGAAGGCTCTCGGGGTGCATTCATACCGCAGGAGGTAGACTTGACGATTTATACTACTCAGTGTTAATTAGTGCAATTGTATTAACTTCATGTATACTGAGCCAATGGGAACGCATCATGCTTTTGTCCACAATGGATTGGTAATAACCTCTCAACCTTTCTGGATGATATTGTAGTGTTCTTGTGCATTCGTAAAACGGGAGATCAAATTACGTAGACTTGACTAACATGCTAGCCAATAGGAACACATCCTTTTGTTTTTAAAGTGGATGGAAGGGAAATTTTAAAACTCGATATATTACACCTATACTTTTCATGAGACTCCAATTATCAGTCATCCTATCCAATACGATAAGCAGTTGGAATTTATAGTTTTTTATGTCCTAATTATCAATCACTGTGTGTAATGATCGAATTCATGACAGTTGAACTTGAAAGCCAGTAGGAACGCACATTCATGTATCCACATCTACAGTGTAATGATTATGACTTATCAACCTCTTCTCCCAGTTCATATTTGACGTATCTGCATCATCAATCACCATTACAGCATAATGATAACATGTTGGATCATGGTTTTGCGGTATCAGTGTGAATGTGCCCCTGGAGACTAGACAGGTGTTAGAAAGAGATGAAATGAGGCCAAGGCTAGCAGTAGACTCAATTCACTGCAACATTGGCCAATTTGTGATGTTACATGCATTCTGGGAAGGTCTGATACATGCACTGCCCATAGTGCCATGTGAATGAGTTCCCATAATGACATCCTCCCATTCAAACGCATGGAGGGTATGTCCGCTAACATGTTGTTACATACAACTGCGGTAATTTACCTGTAGCCTCACAATTTATTGAATGCCCTACAGTACCTTGTAATCATTTTGCCATCCAGAAAGTTCATCTCTTTTTTCATGTATAGTTGGTCTACACCTGTGTTATTTGGTCTGTAATGTTTTCAACATATTTTATTCTGATAAACTGTAATGATGTGTAATATTGGGGTCATTTCTTCTTGTTTATCAAATTCTGGATAGGTTTACAACGTGATATACATGTACAGTGTACAGCAGCTCAACATGTACAGTGTAGGCTTAAATATCAGGCATTACAAGATCCAGATTATTCTATACTTTATTCATTCAACTTTACTGTATTTCTTACTTTTATTGTAGGCTAGGTAGTACTACTATGAAATATAACTTAGATGACTGCGCACTAAATGTTCAGCAATGTTCTTGTGAAGTTAACAGGCTGTCCATACAATGAACTATGTCTGCGGCAGTACCATTTACTTGTCTGTTGCCCCATCGCTATATTTAACTCAATATCAGGGGCCTTCTACAAGGATGATGTACATTCAACCCTGTTATCCATCTACAGGTATTTAGTATGACATTTGTATGCTTTCCTCACCCTCATCCCCCTCTCTCTCTCTCTCTCTGTCTCTGTCTGTGTCTCTACAGAGTTCATCACCCGGGTCATCTCCCATGACGAGAGCCAAGCGATCAAGGCTTTCCAGTCACACAGACACTCAAGGATCAGGAGGTAACGTACAATCATGCCATTGTCATCTTCAGCATCTTTCTTCTCCCCGTCTCTGTCCTATCTTTTCTTATACAATCCTACTAGAGTATCGTCACTTTGGTGTGAATTCCTTGATACTATTCTGTCAGAAATAACTGGAAACCAGAAACCTTGCATGCATGAAAGTTTTGCAATATTATGAGTGATTTAGATAAACAAAATTTGCGAAATGTTCGTGTTGTGAAGCTTCTGGTTTTACATTAGTAATGAAATTTACGCTGTTCCTTCTGTTATATTTTTGTTTGTTTATCAGTTTAACTTTCAAGGAATTTTAAGAGAGGCTCCCATTCTTTATTTCTGTTCTTTGTGTATTTCTCTCTCTCTCTCTCTCTCTCTCTCTCTCTCTTTGATCATTATGCTATAGATCTGTCTCAATTTATTGATGTATTCTCAATCTGATTCTATATCTTTTTCAATTACCTTTGGACCCCTTCCTCTCTATCTTCTCTATCTCAGTGTGTCTCCCATTCATGTGTCTTCTTATAATCACATCTAAGTTCACATAGAGTTTAATAATACCCTTCTGGCCCTAAAGAGACAATTCTCCCTTTAAATGTTAATTTTACTTGTCATAGAATGATAACAGGAAGCAAATCTGTTATTATCCTCCAAATAGATATATGCAGCATCCCTAAGAGCATTCATACTGTTAATGTGGACAGGTCATTGTATTTCTCCCATCCCTTATACCCTTTATCACCTATTGTATCCTCCCATATTTTTTTTCCTTCTTCCCGTCCCGTCACGAAAAGCAAAGGATGGGATGATGGGAAAGACGTGTGATTGATCCAGTTTACCTCCCTGCCGTTTGAGCAGTGAATAAGCATTTTATAGAGAGAAGGAGTGAAAGGAATGAAAGAGAAATGCCTGCAGGGCTTTGAAATGGCACACTGTTCAACAAACAGAGCATGACTAAAGAAACACAGTCACAACAATTCATTATAATGTAACGCATGAGAGTCGGAAGAGAGAGATGCCAAGATGGAAGGAAGGCGCAGGTATTGGACAGGGTATATTTGTAGATGCAGAACCTCGGTATATATATTGAGTTCTAGATGTGCTTTAGGTAATTTTGATATTTCAGAAAGTGCCAACCTCATCCGTACAGATTTATGTCATATTTGTTTTTTTTTTGCAGGGGGGGGGGGGGGGTTCTGAAATATAAATGTAAAGTGGTAAAGATAGAATTATCAACAATTTCATGTTAAATAAATCATACTTTCCAAATATATTTGATAAAGAAAATGTATAGATCCCACCTAATTTGCATAATAAATATGACCCTGAAGTGAGTGTTCAGACTATTGGTTGAACTATCATAACTGGAATATGCTCCAGTATAACTAAGTTATGACCCTTCAACTTCTGTACATGTATATTGTTTCACATTCCATATCCATCAGTTTAGGTGTATTTCATTGTTTTTGCACTTAACATGTTTTCATCATTCTGTTCATATTATGTGTGTTCTAATTACCTACTTATTATCTGAGGATTTTTACCAACCATACAATCAACAATTTATAAAACCTATGATTTCTCTCAAAAATATGATATCTCCAGAACTCAAAATTGATTTTAACAGAGGGTTAGGTATCCAGAGGCCAAATGATAACGCAAGAGTAACCAGCACGTCTAACCTCCCTTGTCTTTGTCTTTGTTTTCCTTTCATAGGGACGACAGGAGATGACAATTTCCTGGAGTCGTTGATGCCAGATGAGATCCTCATCAAAATCCTGTCCTACCTCCTCGAGAAGGATCTATGCAATGTGGCGTGTGTCTGTAAGAGGTTCAACACCCTTGCCAGTGATCTCACTCTATGGTACGTACATTAACCCACCCATCCGCCTGCTCACTTTGTATGTATGTCTGCTTTACCTTTAATACATTAAAGGGCTGGTCACACATGAACAGTTTCAACTTTATTTTTCACCATTAAAGGTCTTTTCTTGCCACTTATAAGCAGTTATCCACCTGTTTAATTCATATGTCATCTTTACCTTTAACCCATTGAAAGGCTGGTCACTTATAAACACTAGACCTTAACCATCTCAACCACTTTGTTTGTACGTTAACTTTGTCTGTAACCATTTAAGGGGCTTGTCACATATGAACTGTAACCTACCTACTGTACTTAACATTAAAGGGCTGGTCAGATATAACGCTAAACAGTAACTCATCCGCCTGCATTGTTCATACATCAACTTTACCTTTGACATATTAAATGGCCTGATAACAATATACAAATAACCAAAGTCAGTTTGTGTAGAAAAAGTAAAGTGCACTGTGTATAAAAGTAGGTAGATCAATAGTATTCTCTTTATTATTAATATTAATCAATGTATTGATACCCACATATACACCTGTACCATTGTGCTAGTTCTTCCTTTTTGTTGAATGTTTCACAACGAGTGACAAAAGCTGTCATTGTCGATTTTGAAAACTAGCCAACTGCCTCGAAATCCATCTGTTGCAACCAACATTCAAATCTTTCCTTAGCCTAGATACATGCATTTTCAGTGCACTACCCCACGGGTAAGGAGGCTTTGCCAAATCTTGATAAGTATGGAATGTCTTCATTCGATTGATAGCATCAAATGAGGCATGATTTGAATAGCGCGACTATTCCCTGGGCTGTGGCTTTAGAGCTATGAACTGCTGCAGGCAATGAACCCACAATGTGTGGTATGAGCGACATGATTGAATACATTTACATGTAAGACGAGATGTATGCAACATGGAACAAGAAATGTTAAGGGAAATAAGAATATGCAATGATTCAGCCTGGTTTGAAGAGTATGCTTGCATGTATCTATGTGACAGGTATCGTTTTGTATAACTACTGAATATGGAGTATAAATAATTTTGTGTGAAAACTTTTCTAAATCATTTATTGTAGTTCTAAAGAGGCAGTATCATAAAGCTGATATTCAGAGATCATTCTTACTACCATTACAATTCCTATCAATATCATGATAATTATTATCATTACTAGCATTCCAATGTACCATCATGATTTTCACAATTAGCATGACCCCTACCATCATCATCATCATCACATTGTCATCACCACTACCACAACCTCTGATACTATCATCATTACTACCAACATTTTCACACATCTTAATTTTCACCATCACTACCATTATTGCTGATAACAAACTTCATTACTATCACCACTATCATCATGTCCTCTATGATCCATCATCACTTACACCACAGTTTCCATCTCCATCGATCATCACCATCTTGATAAATGTTTTTATTTGTAAGGTTTTAATTGTGAACTCTTTATTTTTTTTCCATCATAGGAAACGCCTGTACCAGTCTGTCTATGAGCTGTCTCTTCCCCTCCTGCGACCAGGGCCAACAAAGTTCAAATTTGTCCAACCAGACAAGCTAGATGTGCCAAACATATGGAAAGAGAGTTTCAAAACATTGGTATGTATAAATCTATAATCAGGGCTCCACATTTACCTTTTCTGTAAGGGGTCCAGCTCTAACTTTTTAGAGTCTGTATGCAAAAGCCCTGTGTGAAGAAAAAAAAAGAAATTGTTGGGGTCCGTACTCGACACCTGTAAGTGTCTAGCCCTGCTAAAATGCTTCAATCTCTTACATGGATTTACACTTGCATAGTCTTATGTGGTAATGGTAGTGTTTCATTGATCTCTGTTGTATATGGTTGCCATAGAAAGGATGGTGTCTTGAAAATTGTCTTTTGAAATACCCATGGTGAATGAGTTTGAAACTGAAAAAAAAATTAAGTGAGTATTAACAATGTAATCAATGATTGCATTACCGGTATACACATTTTCAACCTTTGAGGTTTGAAAATTCTTTTTCTCTTCAGTATTTTTGTTGATAAAACATACCACATAATTCTTGAATTAGAACAAATGGCGTACCAGGCCTGTAACTACTTGCGTAAGACTTTCATTGTTATTTCAATATAAGTCATGTAATGAAAAAAAAATAATAATAATAATACAAAGAAGAAAGTTTTGGCAAAAACTCTGATTTTTTTTTTTTATAAGACTAACTTTTTGGAATTGGAACAGTCATGCCAAAGGTCGCTACTACAGGGGTGAAAATCAAAAGTAATTGTTTGTTTCCTTGTCAAATTACAATCCACATGGATATTCATCGAGCAGAGAGCTCGATAAGAGTGAAGGGGCAAGTCGGTTTCGATAGATGCAATTGACTTATGATCTGCAGGGACCCACAGTCCGTTTCTTGCCTAGTCATAATCACGTCCGCCGGGATCGCTCTCATGTTTGTCTCATGTTTTTGTGTGACATGGCAATGCTTGTTGCATTTTTATTTGTACCTGTGAAGTGAAGTTGGCATGGTAGTCTATGATACTCAAAGACATGACATAGATGCGTGTGTCATTTTGTATGCATAGGTTATATTCCCAATCAGCGGGTCATGAAATGTCATCTCATGAAGTCATTTTTTAAAATTTTTTTTTGGAGGGTTGTTGTTGTGTTTTTTTTGTTTGTTTGTTGTTGTTTTTTTTGGGGGGGGGAGGGCTTGCTCATGTAGTATTTTTTAAACAAAGAATGTTAGAAGGTATGTACATGTCATGCTCATTTGTTAGTATACAGGGAAAATGGATTATTTGTTATTTTGATATATGAGTTATTTTGTATTGTTAATTCTCTTGTTTGTCATGTAAAATTATTGTTAACATTAAGATCCATCCAACTGATCCAAGTAACAAATATCGTGGAAACTGTAACTTTTTGTGTAAAGAAGCCATTTTATTGCACCTCTGGAGTATACACATGGCATTTCTGGAGTACGCTCATGGCATGGATATGTGCAATAGCGATAAAATGCAAATAGTATTTTGCTTTCATCAAATTGTCCAGTTAAGAAATGATCACATATTGACTATTTGATTATTGATTAGTTTGACCCATGTATACAAATAGTTGCTCTGTTGAGGGGGAAAAACCATGATGAATAGCATGTGACATCCAGTTGACGAGTCATATAATCATGACTTTTTTGCCAATTGTTATTGTCAACGGTAAACAATAAAAACATCCTATTGAATATTGCATGTAAATTTGATATGGAATTTTCAGTTGGTCATTCCATATTGGCTATCAAATTTTGAGAAAGAGAATATATAAATAGACATTCATACCATATGTTCAATTTTAAGTTCCATTGATTGCTTCTGTTACTTTATGTACAGCCAGGACTATTTACCACCTGGTTTTTATAGATCTATGAATCTATGAATTTATAACACATGATAGAATCAATTTACCTGTATTCATTTTAAATGCCAGTACTGATTCCTACAGTGTGTATTTCAGCTTTTATATTGTTCTGCAAGTTCTAGGAGCTGCTTTCTAAATTTTACAAGCTCATTTGCCCAACTGTTATAGATGCCAAAATGAAGATTTCTGTTAGAACTTTGCATCGTATGTTGTGGCACTTGTGACATATGCAGAAGGGTGCACATTAGATTCTTAAGAGCTGATGAATTGAAGATGAAAGTAGCCATTGTATCAAGTTTTTTTCTATTTCTATTAACCGTTTTGCAGTACTCTGCTGTCCATGTCAAGCCAGGCTATGCCGCGTTCATGCACGATTCTCCTGAACTGTTCAAGGGCCGTGATATCCAGTACTACGACACGATAGACGAGGCCCTGTCGTCTGTCGAGGGCAACGAGTACACCCTCATCTTGGTGCACGAGGGCGTTTACACAGGAGAATGGCTGTACATTGACACGCCTGTCTGCATATTAGGAGCTGGTAGGTTCTAATGACGGGTTTAGGGATAGGGTTAGGGCGTTTACAGAGGAGAATGGCTGTACATTGACACGCCTGTCTGCATATTAGGAGCTGGTAGGTTCTAATGACGGGTTTAGGGTTAGGGTTAGGGCGTTTACACAGGAGAATGGCTGTACATTGACACGCCTGTCTGCATATTAGGAGCTGGTAGGTTCTAATGACGGGTTAAGGGTTAGGGTTAGGGCGTTTACACAGGAGAATGGCTGTACATTTACATGCCTGTCTGCATATTAGGAGCTGGTAGGTTCTAATGACGGGTTTAGGGTTAGGGTTAGGGCATTTACACAGGAGAATGGCTGTACATTGACACGCCTGTCTGCATATTAGGAGCTGGTAGGTTCTAATGACGGGTTTAGGGTTAGGGTTAGGGCGTTTACACAGGAGAATGGCTGTACATTGACACGCCTGTCTGCATATTAGGAGCTGGTGGGTTCTAGTGACGGGTTTAGGTTTAGGATTAGGGTTAGTTTGTGTGGGTGATCTTTGCATGTTTCGTGAATGCCTTGAGATTTCATTTGTGTAACAAAACAAGGCTTTAGAAGGATCGAACACACATTTCACATGTGGCTTCATGATTTTAATTTTGAATCGTTATCTTTAAGATAATAATGATAATGTATCAATGAATTTACTTTTCACTTACCCAGCCCTCCTATTTTAACATGTAGTTATAAAAGGATTATTGAGTCATAATTGTCAAGCCACTTGTCTTCAGAATAATATTGTGAGCTTTGTTCCTATCAGTTGAAATGCCTTGATTTTACATTTGTTGTGGTTGTCAAATCATTGGGACAGCAGTAACATAATGAGGGGATTGCTCTGATTACCGTAATCGTAGATAGTTTCTTTTCTTTTTAAATTTTAAAAAAAATCCCATTTTATGTTTATTTGGACACTATGTAGAATTTCACTGTCCATATCTATTACAGTATGATGCATATTTGCTCTAATTTTGATGTCATGGATTGCCATGGTAACTTAACATTTGACTGTATTTTTTTTTTTTCCACAGCTCCTGGACACATTCCAGACAGTGTGATCGTAGAGAACAGCAAGGAGTCTACGTTTAGGTTCATAGAAGGCTGTGAAGATGCATATCTTGGTTACATTAGTATTAGGGTAATTAAGCAATTTCTTTCTTTTCTTTTCTTTGTATGCTTGTATTTTTGTGCCAGGAATGTATGTTTCGATGAGCTCACCACTCTGACACATCAACAAAATATAACAGGTTATGCCTCAAACATTTATCTTATATGTAATGATGCATTGTGACTAGTCCTGTCATATGAATTTTTGAAATATTTTCTTTTTCTTTTCTTTTCTTGGATCAGTCTGTTACATTTCCAGAAAAACAATGTATGAAATAAAATAAAAGAGTTTGGTTATGTAGGAACATAACTATAAAAAAAAGCAACCAATACCATGACATTGCCCAAAAGTCTCTCCATCGCTAATTATTGAGTTTTCCTCATTCTTTGCAGTTCAATCCCGAAAGCAACTCCAATCAACCGCATCACAAACACTCGTGTGTTGAGGTTGATGCCAACTGCTCGCCAACCATTGATAGCTGTAATATAAGGAGTAGATCACAAGGTATGTACCCACCTTCACTTCTTTCCCATGTCCTTTTGCTTGCATATCTTCGTCATTTCTTTCTATGTCCTCTTTCACAGAACGTGTTAACCCTTGTGGTGGGTAATCCTCTTACATGATGCTTTATCAGGTTTTGTATGGTTTGATTTGTACCAAACAAAACTTTAGTTATGTTTTATTTTCAGTGTAGAAAACAAAACAAAAACAACTGGCATTATAAGATTGTAGAGATGGATGGAAAAAAGGGAAATAAAGAGAAATTAAATCAGCAAAGATTAAAACAAAAAAATGACTGGTACACTGTTTGATCCATATCAAATTAGTGATAAGTTACGGTCGAAGAGGGTGAACTTTTGAATGGACAACCGAAAAAGACTTTATTCATTCTTGGCCAAGATGACACAACCGGTGTTGAAATGTGGGCCAAATAATCATTTTACGTGGGTTGAATGCATGACACACTTCAGGCGAGGGAGGGAAGTTTAGTGAAAGTCTGAAAGAGAGAGAGAGGTGAGTGGTCGTACGGTACGTCATGCTATCTATCTGTCAAGAAGCGACGATGATTCTACATGGACCTGGCTAACTCCAGCAGGAAATCAAGCGTTTCCTCCTGCCCTCCAACTAGCCATTTGACACTCACACAAACCACTCACTCACTCTCTTTGCTGTTACCTTAGAAAGTATGACGGCAAAAAACGGCATGCCTGAATAGGACCCGGTGGCTGTCGGATGTATAACAGTAACAGCATTTGTCTGAATGGTTTAATAAAGGGAATTGGATACAATGGATCCGTTTGGACATAAGAAAGTAAATTGCTGAAAAACGGTGACCATGGCAAATTTGGGTGAAACAAACACCATGTGCTTATAATAAACAGATAAGGGATCACTCATAGGTTTTTTTTATGCCTCCGTTACGAAGTAGCCGGAGGCATTATGTTTTCGGGTTGTCCGTCCGTCCGTCTGTACGTACGTCTGTACGTACGTACGTACGTCCCGTTCTCGTGATCGCGTTATCTGAAGAACCGATTGATGGATTCCTACCAAACTTAGGTCATGTATGTATCTTGCAGAGCCGATGAACTGATTAGATTTTGGGGTCACGAGGTCAAAGGTCAAAGGTCACAGGGCTCATTATGTATGCAAAAACAGCTCGTGATCGCGTTATCTCAAGAACCGATTTATGGATTCCTGCCAAACTTTGGTCATGTATGTATCTTGCAGAGCCAATGAACTGATTAGATTTTGGGTCACGAGGTCAAAGGTCAAAGGTCACAGGGCTCATTATGTATGCAAAACAGCTTGTGATCGCGTTATCTCAAGAACCGATTGATGGATTCCTGCCAAACTTAGGTCATGTATGTTACTTGCAGAGCCGATGAACTGATTAGATTTTGGGGTCACGAGGTCAAAGGTCACAGCGCACATTATGTATGCAAAAACAGCTCGTGATCGCGTTATCTCAAGAACAGATTGATGGATTCCTGCCAAACTTAGGTCATGTATGTTACTTGCAGAGCTGATGAACTGATTTGATTTTGGGATCATGAGGTCAAGGTCAAAGGTCATGCGGCTCATTATGTATGCAAAAATAGCTTGTGATCGTATTCTCATTGGAACAGATTGATGAATTCCTGCCAAACTTGGATCATTTATGTATCTTGCAGAGCCAATGAACTGAGTAGATTCTTGGTTCATAAGGTCAAAGGTCATGGGTCATTATGTATGCTAAAATAGCTTGTGAACTCATTCTCATTAGAACTGACAGATGGATTACTATTTAACACAGGACATCTTGCAGAGCCAATGAACTGAGTAGATTTTAGGGTCATGAGGTCAAAGATCAAAGGGTCATATATGTATATGAGAAATTGCTTGTAGGCCTAATCACGATATTCTGAGAACCTGTTAATGGATTACAATTGAACTTGAATTTGAAAAATTTCTTCTGTTTTGGTTTGTAAAATTGCTCTATGACGGAGGCATCATTTTCGACTGCGCGCAGTCGAATTCCATCTAGTTTTTGTATGCACCTATAGGGTCTGTTTTTTTTTCTTCAAACTTCAAAATATTGTTCTTGACATGGCAAGTTTTTTTGGCAGCATTTATTTTTAAATGCAGTTAACTGTGTTATATCTGAAGGTGGAATATGATGGGTTAGACAGCTAATTTCCCTCTGAAAATTGGAAAGAATCTGTAGATTTTCACAACCAATTCGATACGATATATGTAGCTAGACTTCCTTGTTTCAGCTATATAAAGTAGAATGACCTCCATATTGAAAGGAAGTGTTGGGCCCTTGAGAACGGACACAATAAGTGAATATTTACAATCAAGTCTAACTTTTCAAAGTGTTTTAACAGGAAATAACAACCTTGAACCAAGCTGTATGGTTCATACAGTGCATTTTTGTTTATATTCAGGATATCTCAGAACTCACGCCAACTCTAACTAATAGTTTTGCAAACTATCAGACATTATTCATCACTTCCTTCATTTTGTTTCAGATCTATCATGGAGTGGTGATAGGTAGTATTAAAATGGGCATGCCCTGAATAGGCCAGGCCATTTCAGGAGCAATTTGGTCAAAAGTAATTAGGGGAGGGGGGGGGGGGGATGGTGGCTTGGAGGTTCTTGCAATCATTTTGCTACATATACCTCTTTAAATTTAAGTATAATAAAGACTTTGTTTGTGGGATGGGGGGGGGGGGGGCGGACGGGGGTATCCTGCTGCCCCCCCCCCCCCCCCTTTGAATCATTCCTGGGTAATTTTAGGGATATTGAAGGGACAATGACTATTACATCAGCAAAACTACAATTAAATACCCCCCCCCCACACACACACACACACTCAAAAAACAAAAAAAAATTAAAAAAATTAATAATAATAATATATAATGAATAAATCAATTGAAATTTAGACAATATATAAATATTTAATGAAAGAATAGATATATAACTAAAAATCAGACAACTGTGTCACTTAAATTGTATGATTCATTTGAGGAATAAACTAAAAAATATATAATTTTTCATACATTCTTAATTTTGTTGTGATTGAAGTGAGTGAGTATCATTTGATCAATCCCTTCCTGTCATTCGTGCTCAGTTTCTATTCATTCTCAGGAAGTGATAGCATCAGGAGTGATTATAGAAAGCATATCAGGTTCTAGACTAATGAAAAATAACTTCCGTTCAAAAACTTTTTGATGTGTAAGAATTCAAAAAGAGTTATGCTAATATGCAGGAAAAGAACAGTGAGATAGACGAAGATGTTGCTTTTGCATGAAATATGTATTAAAATTGTAATCAAGTTAGATTTAGACTGTGTTGTCAAAGCTACATTTTGGGACATCTTGTCAATTTGTACTTTACAAAAATATATATATACACAAAATTGCTTATTATATTGACTGTTTAATTCTCTAAATGTGACAAACGCACTGTGAACTCTACTTCATTTCAAGAAGTATCATTTTCATTTTTGGTTGAAAAGTGGCACATGAAATTTGTACTCTTCACCTACTTACTTTAATACGTAAGGTCATGAGACACAATCACAATACTGGAATGCATTATTGTTATTTGACAGTAGGTTCATAAAGAATTACATATTTACACAGGGTTGAATGACCCCATTCAATTGATAAAGATAACAGAGATAAAACATTATTGTTCATATATGAGGTAAATATGTCAAATTAGGTTATTTAATCAGATGTGAACTTTGTCATTCTCTTTGTGAGCTGTCATAAAGTATGTTTGAGATGTAGCACATGAATAGTGATTAATGCGCATGCTAGGCACAGTCATGACTGCAGTTGACAGTGTTTTTGAAATGCTGTTGACTCATCGCATTTAGAGTGGGGGAAATGTTTTAAGCTTCGTAGGAGAAACTGATTGTCAATTTCATCCTTTCATAGTAGACTTTCAATTATTAGATGCACCATTACATAGTAGACTTTCAATTATTAGATGCACCATTACATAGTAGACTTTCAATTATTTAAAATCACAATGGGATAACTTAGATGTACTGGTACATGTAAATCTCATGATATATATATATTTTATAATCACATGCAATTCTATTACAAGAGTTAAAGGAGAATTTTAAGTGTGACAGAAATGATAGCTATGCAACATATTATCTATTTCTGCTATAGGATATGATTAAAATATCTAGTTATTATAAGTTATGCTATACAATGTAATGAAGATAAAACTTCCCATCTTATCCCTTTACATCCTACAAACATGGCCTAACGCCAATAATTGTGACGTGGCTTCATGATTTCCATTACCCTTCCTCTTTAATATATTATCTTCTTGGACTTGGTCTGATCTGTACTCTTATAATCAAAGATTCTACACATATAATGTAATAAGGCCCCTGTTATTCCATATTATTCTTTGTTTCTAGTTTGATTTGATCTCATTAAATTTTTTTTTAGCCATTTTCAATCTCCCACGCCCCTTTAAAAAAATATATAGCAAAATAAATGTCTACATATAATTTTGTTTTACTTATACTTAATACTTTGTGGCAGTAATATATCCAATTCCTTTTTCTGAGTATCTGAGGTACAAGATGAGTTAAAAAAGAACAACAAAAAACGTCTGAAAGGGAGAATGTTTGTATTATTTCACAAGTTTTATATGTTCATTAAGATAATTTAGGTGTATACACAATTTGTTAGATAAACAAATGTTACAGATATTTTTTTTAACATACTGTAGGATAAATTGAAAATTGGAACTCCTATCTGTCCCTACTACTTCCCATATCAATGGTTTCTGCAATTGCTTTCCAAAATCTACTATTATCCAAAGGAAAAAATGTTTCATAAACCTCTTATGGAACCTTTAAGGCTGGCCATCCCTCCCATCACTCCTCATCATTATGTTCCATTTACATCAATTTGTTGTGGTGTAATTCCTCCAAAATTGTCAAGTCACTCAGCGCAGCTGCTAGGGGATTAATTACAGAGACTTGAGCCCACTTTCACCTGCTTTGCCTCAGTTTTGTCACTGGCGATTAGGCTCAGGTACTCTGCAGATTATGCCACATTGTCTCGGTCTTATACCTTGCAGTGCATGCTCAATACAAACTCCCTCTCTTTCTCTCTCTCTCTCTCTCTCTCTCTCTCTGTCTCTTTCTGTCATTGTCCGTCTCCCCCCCCCCTCTTTCTCTTTGCTCTCTCTCTCTCTCTCTCTTTCGACGTTGGAGTGTTTTGACAATTCTATAATAGTAGGCAACACTAATATTGTGAATAGTTTCAGGGTGCAGGCTTGTAGTATTTTAAATTTCTCAGGAAAGCATACATGTATAAAACATCTTGTATTGTTTTAGTTGTCAAGTTGACAAGATATGGCTTTGAAAAAGATACATTAAGCTCTATTTTTACTTGAGGAGACATACATTTCATCTCTGTAAAGCTCCGTCTTTAATCGAGAAGATACAGCTAAAGTTTTGCCATGTTACCAAGTAATTGAGCAATATTTGCAGACAGAATTCATACAGGTAAGATAATGAAGCAGGTAGATGTAATGAAAAATTTGAAGATTAACAATTTCATTGCTTATCATTGTAAATGCAATCATTTTGGTATGATAACCAAGAGTCTTGCGACTGGTAAACTAGTTCCTTCTGTTTATTTGTATTTCTTTGCATACAGTGGGTGCTGCAGTGAGTGTGAGTGGAAGGAGAGCATCGCCCACCATCAAGAACTGTGTCATCAGTGATTGCGAAAATGTAGGACTCTTCATCAACGATCATGCAGAGGTGAGAATATTTAATCTTTCCATAGATAACATTCAAAGTGCTTCATCTAGAATTAGCTGTAGTTTGATTATGGAGTCTGTTGTTGGTTGCAGAAATGATCCTGATGTCAGGTTTGATGGAGCTGTAATCGTAGACCTGAATAGCTAATACAGCCAAAGAGTTGAAATCACAGAAATGGTTCATCCAGATATGACGCTTTAAACTCCCACAAGAACTGAAAACATTGCAGTTATATTATGTGTAAATGAATAGCAACTTCATGCAACAAAAGTCCTACGCATATTCGCTAAACTCTGAGTTATAAGATACAGAAATGTAAAGTGTATTACAGTTCCATCATGATATATAAAAACGAAAATAAATAAAAAGCCATAGTTAATTACCTTTACCCGAAGGAGGCTTAGAGTCTTCAATGCTGAGAGGGAAAACCTACAACGTGCATGTGTCATACATGTATGGCTTCAGTTAAATACATGTTTAAGGATGTTATACCAGATACTCATAAGGTGAAACAAAATATCCTTTTCAAGAAGCTTATCGTATTAGAAACTTTATTGTCAGCTGCGGGCAAAAAGGCTATAAAATCTATTTATTAGCAGAGCCAGTAAGAGCCATCTTGTGGGCAGCTGAAGATATTATTAACAGGATGTTATAAAAAATATTGAATAGAAACATATAAGTTCATTGTCATTGTTATTATTATAATTGATCTGCTGTTGTTGCTGTTGTTATCATCATCATCATTGGTATTTATCCCTATTTATACTTCAGGGTCTTTACCTGGACAATGAGATCAGCGGCAATGCGCTGGCTGGTATCTGGGTCAAGAACTACGCAAACCCCATCATCAGGCGCAGTCATATTCACCATGGCAGAGATGTGGGTGTCTTCACGTTTGACAACGGCATGGTAAGAAACAATGTAGGCTTGTGAAAGGGAAGTTGGGTAGGAAGATAGTGTAGTCAATAGTTCCATCATAAGCCTATTCGTCAACAATGGAATAGACCAAAGTGGATCATTATAGAACTTCAATAAAATAAGAGACACATTGGTTCTTTTGTATTGACCATCATGCCAACACAGATGATGAGAGGAAATAAACAATTAGTGGGGTTGTAAAAGTATCATTTGCTGCTTTAAATCAGAGGAAGAAAATTGACAAGCAACGTTTTTGTATGTAAGACTATCTTAAGTCATACCTCCTACAAAAGTACCTTGTGATGTTGTATATGAAACAAAACACAGGGAACTTATCACATTAAATGGAAGGGGGTTTTTATAGGAAAATTATGCACGTCTATCTTGGAATGATGACTTTGTAAGAAAAGAGTACCAAGCAACTTCTATCCCTCTGTTCTTTGCAGGGTTACTTCGACCGATGTGACATCCACCACAACCGCATCGCCGGCTTCGAGGTGAAGGCCGGAGCTAATCCTACCGTCGTCCACTGTGAGATCCATCATGGTCAGACCGGTGGGATCTATGTCCATGAAAATGGGAGAGGCGAGTTCATCGAGAACAAAATCCATTCCAATACCTTTGCTGGAGTCTGGGTGACGTCAAACAGTGATCCAACGATACGGTAAGATCAGGCTTCCATTTTGGATGGCTGATTCATTAACGTCACAATATACTTTGTAAGAGTTTGTTGAAATGTGGGATATTAGCAGCCTATATAATTTCATTCTCATTGAAACCTGTATCAATACAATACATAGATTTGCTGTTCATAATAGGCCTCTTTTGTTGTTTCTTACGAGGAATTTTGTTAATATAGTTTTGACGGTCTAAGAAACTATTTTACTATTGTTGTTCAAATTTGCTTTATAATTATCTTCTTCTTCAGTTGTCTTACACAGGCCACCATCTGGTGTATTGTCATACTGTTGAGGTGCAGTGCAGATGTATGTGCAATGTCTAATAACTAGCTTTTATGTATGACTAATTCTATCAGATTGTCTTTCCCCTACAAAGCTTGAAGTAGTTCTAAACAAAAATATGTGATACATATGATAAAAGAGAATTTCTGAGTGGATGTCCCGTATACCAAATCTCAAATAATCATCTTTATGACCGGTGCTTTATTTTCATTATTTTAGGGGCAATGAAATATTCAATGGCCACCAAGGAGGCGTGTACATATTTGGAGAGGGGCGTGGCCTGATCGAGCACAACGACATTCACAGTAACGCACTCGCAGGGATCCAGATCCGCACCAACAGCAATCCCATCATTAGGAACAATCGTATTCATGACGGCCAGCATGGCGGAATCTATGTGGTATGTAGATCAGAGATGAAGAGTTTTAGTCATTTTACTATTTGTTTGATTATAATGTAAAGAAAACAGACATATAACAAACTAGGCTGTAATGATTCAGAATAAATGATGCTAATTAGCAGGAATGTTGGTTCATTCACGTTTAATGCAAATTTCATTTCTTTAAAGAATCAAAAAAATCGCTGAGAGGTAATGTTATAAAAATGATATGAGATCACACTCTTTGATGACATTTTCTGCATATTTTTGAAAAGGATGAAACATACATGAAAAAAGAGTATTTCTAGTTCTCAGGAAATGGAAGATTTCTAAGCAGACCAAGCATCTCACCAGTGCATAAAGATTATCTTTTTTGGTGAACATCCTCATTCCTAAATTAATATATTTTTAATGTGAAAATAGAGAAGTAAATGTTTGTACAATAGCTGATTCAAGGCTGAATAAATGATTGATTTTCGTTTGTGTTGTTTTTGCAGCATGAGAAGGGTAAAGGACTGATCATAGAGAATGAGGTTTACAGCAACACATTGGCTGGTGTGTGGGTGACAACAGGGAGCTGTCCGGAGCTCAGGAGAAACAGGATTCACAGTGGAAAACAGGTCAGTCTCATCTCTCATAAGTTCCTTATGTAGAGAAAGAAAATGTAGGTCTAGTTAAAGCCCGTCTGTACTAGTTTGGCCAGGAGGGATTATACCACCCAGTGTGATCACTGACAGGTAGCTATCTCATCAACTCAGCTCTCAATTAACATAAGAAAAAGGGGGATCATAGGGGACCAACGGGCACCGCTTAGGCATTGTTTTTAAGTAGCTACAAGTAGTGCAATGGGGCTTTAAAATCTATATCCTCTCCTCCAGAAAAATGTAGGTGCACTGCAGTGTGTGGATTTTTTTATTTAAAAAAAAATCTTTCGGCACTCGGTGAGTATCATTGTATTGTTGGTGATCACATGTATTATTTGTGTCTCTGTAGTCTGTGTAAGTCTATGTTATAGGTTGGTGTTTCCCTTGATAACAAGTATAGAGACAAGTCTAGAGAGAAGCAATGAACAAATCACCTAGACCTAGCTCTCATCACCAAATTCTCTTTCTCTCTCTCTCTCTCTCTCTCTCTCTCTCTCTCTCTGTTTATTTACATAATGTTGTTATGTACATTCATCTTCTACTTAGAGTAGATGATTTGCAAGTACCAAAGGCACTCAACAATAAATCTCCTTAAAAAACCACTTATGTCTCGCTAACTCTCTCCATCCATCTATCTTATCCTTTCTAGGTTGGTGTATACTTCTATGACAATGGTCACGGCACGCTAGAAGACAACGATATCTTCAATCATATGTACTCTGGTGTTCAGATCAGGACAGGTAGTAATCCCATCATCAAGAGGAATAAGATCTGGGGAGGCCAGAACGGTGGTATCCTTGTCTACAACGGAGGTAACATTGATACAACATACTTTTTTGAATGTTAGGCTTCCTGGGAGAAGTTTCAATTGTTATAAAGAAAATGTTGGCTTGCACCCAGTAAATAAAGATCGGATGCTCGATTTGTAATTGAAAACAAGTCAGAAACAAATCTCTGATAATATTTTAATCTGCCATCTACATACGTATGGTTTATTCTTTGCATAGTTGGTGGGCATTGTTAGGCTAGGATATATCAGCATTGGACATGATAATAATAATAATAATAATAATAATAATAATAATAGGCTAATAGAAAAATATCATTGGATACTTTGTTTGCGTCAATGATAAGCAGGTCCTTTATTCTGTAGAAAGTAAGGACTTAAGATTGCAATTTTTGCAGCAAGAACTTCCAAGTTTTCTTTTTATCATCAAAGTAGTCAAATGTACATTACACCATTGACCTCTTGCATATAAAATTGTGTTTAAATGCAACACCAAAACTAAAAAACAAGTCCATAACAAATTATCTTGATCAATTCAAAACAAGTTCTATGTGCAAAAGGCTCATGGTGGTGGTAATCAAACTATCAATAATAATTGAGTGGAATAGATTTGTATGGGAGACAGCTACCATAAACTACAAATTTTTATTTTTGTCTCTGTGTCCTTCTTTATGGTACTCAACTCTTTGTCTACTGTCCGGACAACTTCAATATAATCATACTTATGTGCAGTGACTTACTTTTATTACTGTAGAGTATCTCAAATACTATCCTCTTCTTCGTTCCTCTGTTCAGGTCTGGGTGTATTGGAGCGTAATGAGATCTTTGACAATGCTATGGCCGGTGTATGGATCAAGACGGATAGCAATCCTCATCTTCGTTATAACAAGATACACGATGGGCGGGATGGTGGCATCTGTATATTCAATGGTGGTAGAGGTAAGAATCATTCAGTCGATAAATGTGAGGTTTCCAGTTTATGAAATTGAACCAAAGCTAAAATCTAGTACCTCTACTTTACAGATTTGCAAATTACTGGTAAAGGAAAAACATTCCTTGAATTTTTGGGTGACTTGATATCATGGTACGATATGAAATTGTTTAACAAGTGCATTGGAGCATATTGTATTTTGTGAATGCATCCACAATGTTTTCTTGTTACTACCCTTTTCTGCAATTGTGGCTGGTGCAAAGAAATTAAATAAGTGGGTTCATAGTATCCTAACTACAGGATAAATTGAAGGAACAGTTGCTACTTCTGGAACCCATTTCACATAGCCTTTTTTCAATGACAAATGAAAAAATTCAGTGACAAATCTGCTGAAAACCAATCAGAAGCAAGGATTTCAGTAGCTTATAACAAAAACTGTCATTTGTCACTGATCACAAGTTTCGTGAAATGGGGGCCTGGGCCCGTATTCAATAAACTTCTAAGACATTTTTCTTAAGTCTAAGAAAATGTCTAAGAATTTGTCTAGGTTAAGAAAGTTGCCTTAGCCGTATTCTAAACACGTAAAGCAGTTTGTCTTAGCCAAGACGAAAGATAAGACAAATTCTTAGACCCGATGACGTCATGTGGGAAAGTTGATGTGGTCGACTCGAGCGAATTAATTGCAACTCGATTTGCCTATGTAATTTGCGTGTTAAAATAAAAATCGCACCGCACGAAAATTATACACTAACATGTATGGGAGAGCGTAAGGGAGGAACGATGCTGAGTTGCTCACATAATTATTTCGGGATTGACCAACTGACACTAGTTACGTCTATGGTCTAGTCAAGACCACCTGAGGCTAGATCTAACATCCACTGTAGGCTTTTTATACTTTTCTGTCAAACAACTCCGAGGAGCCCAACCGGGCTTACTTATTATGTCGCAGCCGCAGGTCTGTGAGTATGAAGGGAGCGCCGTCGCTAGCCGGCCGACCAGCGCTAGCTAGCATTGGATTTGGAGCTACCCTTTCATTGTTTTACATCGTCTACTGTTATGATGGCCTAAAATTAATCAAATGGCTAAATGTAACCTTTATCAGACTCATACTATAACAAATTTTGTCTCACCTAATATTATGCCGATTGCACATTATTCCCTGTTTCCATACTTTAGCGCCAAAGACTAATAAAGTAAGAGACGGTTTCTTTATATACGACAGCCATGTCATGATTTAGTGTTATGCATACTTATGCTACTACTCGTTTAGTAGTTGTGTACAAACAAACATACTAGTACAAGTACAAAGAGCCTATGGCGCTCCTGCGCGCTGCGCCGTCGACGCTGTATATTACGCGAAGCTTACGTTGTTATATAGGTCAACTGATAACCTGCGCTCGCGCTGCGCGCGCTGCATGCATTGTTTTTATTCCATTTGATCGAAACCCGAAGCGGTTGCTTGCAGCATCACTGAGCTGCCGGTGCCAAAGCCCCATTTAAGCATCCTCGTAGTATGCTTAAATATAGGGTAGATTTCTTACTTATCTTAGATATCTCGATTGTATTAGAATACGACATGCTACTTAAGTCCTTTTTCTTAGATAAAATCTAAGAATCCTTCTTAATCTTAAGGCAAATTTCTTAAGTCCCCATTGCTGTTATAGAATACGATTTTTGGCTAAGATTTTTTCTTAGCCAAAATTTAAGAAAAAGTACTTAGATTTCAAGCTTAAGAAGTTTATTGAATACGGGCCCTGGTGTCTACATTGTAAATGAAACTCAAAAACAAACCCCATCTTCATTCTGATCCATCCATCCATGTATCCAGGAATCCTTGAGGAGAACGAGATCTTCCGTAACACCCAAGCAGGCGTCCTCATCAGCTCTCAGAGCCATCCCAGGCTCAAGCGTAACAAGATCTACGATGGTCTGGCAGCGGGCATTGAGATCACCAACAATGCCAACGCCTACCTGGAGGGTAACCATGTCTTCAATAACAAGTTTGCTGGCATCTGCCTTGCCACAGGGGTCAACCCAGAGATGAAAGGTGAGGGGTCAAAGCTTACAGCATTTATTTTCCATTTTTTTCTTCTTGTATTGGAAAGATAACCTTAGTGTTAGCAAGTCCTGAATATCCAAGTGTGATGAAATATGAAAACAATGCTATATTGGACATGTTTTCTTTGAAGACAATCAATTCAATAGTTTTAGGTAGAATGTTTGAATAATTATTATATCTTTATACAGCTGTCATACATTAATGAGGTTGTATTTTGTGTTTCTCTGAATGATGTCACATCTTTAAAAATACAATTTTAAGTGCGTTTTTCTTGAGTTGAGTAGAAAACAAAAGTATGAAATATCATCAGTTACAGTATATATGTATATTTTTTGCTAATAGGCAACTAGACGAGATCTTCCTAAATGGTTTTATGGAGTTGGATTGTGCTTTTAACGACAGATGAAATTGTAAAGTATATTTGTAATCTCGTTGATTGATCTATGATCTCTCTCTGTCTTCCTCTCCAGACAATAAGGTGTATGGTAATAAGAATGCCATTGAGAAAGCAGTCAAGTGTGGCAGGTGCTTGTACAAGATCTCCAGCTATACAAGCTATCCCATGCATGACTTCTACAGGTAATGTACCATTGGAAATCAATAATCTTATATTCCCGCCCATTGGAGTATGTTTTATTATACGATAAGCTTGCAGTACCTTTTGTCATGTCTCAGCTATAATGTACTCATATATAATCAGTTTCAACATTTATTTCTAACTTGAGAACATGTAGTTTAAAATAAATAAATAAATAAAAAGTAAGAATGGCATATTTTGCAGTTATTAAGTGTGTACCAGAATAGTTTTGTAAAATAAATTTTCTGTAAACATATTTATTTATCCAATTGTAAACAAAATCAGTTGTTGAGAAAAGCATCAGAAAAAATAGTATTGGACATTCAAGAAAAGGGTCTGTGCTCTGAAAACATGAACTCTTTGTTACATGAGTTACATAAATAAATGTAAAGTCATGACTGAGTTTTCTTCGTCTGGATGCAGTAATGATTTCCCCTGAGTCATATACTCAGTCATATGTCTTATCTTTCTTTGCAATGTAGATTCCAGAACTAGAATTCTAGAACTTTGATTGCAGACCCTCCCTGAATTATTTTTTTTGATACTCACTCCACACAAATTTTAATGCCTCCCTGACTTTTTGAAAGATTATTCCTATCGTGCTGTATGCTGTTGATAAAAACCTCCCTGATTTCTGAGTGAATCTTCCCTGAAAGCTGAATGTAAAGGGTGGCATATCTGTGATTGCTAGCTTCTGAAAGCTTTGAATGACTGGATTTGTAATGTATGTCATTTTAGAGTCAATACATGTCAGTCTTATGTCCAATGTGTCCGTGTGAATAAGACTCAAATGTATTGTATGGAGGTGTGTCCTAGCTCCTCTGGAAAGCTCTTAATGACTGAGGTTTTGTACATGTTTGTTGTTTCAGGTGTAAGACGTGCAACACGACAGACAGGAATGCCATCTGTGTGAACTGTATTAGAAGGTGTCATGCTGGTCATGACGTGGAGTTTGTCACGCATGATAGGTGAGAACAAACATTTCTGTCTTTGCGAAGTCAGGAGGGCATTTATTCTGTGTTAAAGTATGTGAGATAGCAGCCATCTGGCTACCGTTAGACAATTTCATCACCTGGCAATTAGGCGCATTCTCTCTCTCTGTGCGAGGGAATAGTTTATCAGTGATTTGATCAGATCCGCTAGCCCGACATGGCAGAGGATATTGTATGTTGATTTCTAGCCAGCTAAATGTCTCGTGATTCTTTTGAATATTAAAAAAAGTAATGATTTCAATGGCTTGTTTGAGAATATAGGAGGAAATCTTTATGGGAGGTCCAAATCGATGCAAGATATTGTGGTGGTTGGTTATTTTACCTGACTGCTAAGAAAGCATAAATACTTGTTAGTAAGCAACCTTGCAATCATTAAAACTAAGGTGAAACAAATTTTGATGGAGATTAAATGCTACGCATTCTGGATATTTATGCAGGTGATAACAATGCAAATTCATAAATATTAAACATTACAAGATTTATCAAGGTGAATAGAGAGATACCTGTGTGCTATAAGTTTTGGAACAACTTCATGATCGTCCCTGAAAAAGTCATAAATGGGTGAATCACTATGCACTACCTTTCACTATTAAAGATGTACTCTTATCTCATGTCCTGCAGGTTTTTCTGTGATTGTGGAGCTGGGACATTGTCACTGCAGTGCCAACTGGCAGGAGAGCCGACCAAGGATACCGATACGCTATACGACTCGGCCGCGCCCATCGAATCGCACACACTCATGGTCAACTGACAAGACTATGCACATTGAAACTGAACAAATGACTTATCAAGACCAAAATTCAGAAGGAGAACCCTTAAAGCAGAAGGAGGAGAGATGTGTTTGGAAACCCTGAACTCTTCCAGGATAAACGTTGGTTGGTTACCCATCAAGTGATGATTATTGTTTGTTCCATGCCAAAGTTTTGTTGTACATTGACCAAGGGGAGAAACTGTTGTTGGAGGTTGCTGGATTGGTTGGAGGATAGGCTCTGTATAAGGTGGAGCGCATTGGAGAATGTGACTGGGCTCGAGTGTCTCTGCCTCTACCGGAGCGGTTGGAACGATGCAATGTGGTCTTTGAAGATCATCAAAGAAGTCTTTGGTGTAGAGGTTCACCCCATTTGAGAGTACCGTCAAGAATTCATCAGTAAGACTTCCCTGCCTGAAATTTGATGAAAATGCCATATGGATATGGATGCAACGTATCGCTCATCTTACCGTACAGCCACAGCAGGACTCATTTGTAACCTGTTACTTGATAACCAAACTGAAGGGGCTGAAGTCATCCTATAAGTTATCGTCCCTCAGCGTATTATTTCTTTTCACATAAGCCGTGATGTTCAAAGGAGCACATGGACAAGACGTATGTGATGAAAGTCGGAGTATGTTGAAGGAAGAAGGCCTTTCACAATTAAGTGCCGGCAGACTTATTGGATCAATTCGCTGTATGCAATCAGGATGTGACCTTTGAACCCTGACCTGAGAAAGGGGCGCAGATCAAGATTCCTCACACCTCAATATCCGCAGCAAGTAGAAGCTTGTTGAATGTATTCTTCGGAGTCACAGGCAAGGAACCCAAACCCAGCCCAACCCAGCTCTACCAAGTATCTGTTACAGTCACACCAGTGGATTCATACAACTCACTTATTGTTTATTTGGTGGTTAAATGTGATCAAAGAAAGAAGAAAAAAATGGATGAAAAAAAAAGGAGGTGCCTAAGATGTTTTGTCTAAATTGTCAAGTGTCATTGAGTAGTGAATAGAATGTGTGCACCCATGTTTTGTGTTGAGTATGGTTCGTGCTTGTTGTTCAAACCGAGGGAGATTCGATCTCCTTTGAGAATGTCTCATTTTGATATGAAGTACAAAGAAATTATATTCCTCACACCAAATCAGTTTGTGAAAGGAGTATAGCAGAAGACATTATCCTGCAGACTATGTTATTTCTTCATTATTTCAATGTAGAAATATTTGTTAATGAATCTTGACATATATTTGCATGATACATTCATTTGCCATTTAGACGTGTAGACTATTATAGAACATTAACATTTTTGTCATGGGATGGACTACTAACATTGTTTTAGAAGCAACGCTTTCAAATGTTTGCTTTTTGTTGCTTTTTTTACAAGGAATGTTCATTTGTTTTCCACCAGAGAAGTATCTGTAATCAATGTCCAAGTGAAGAGAAATAGCATTCTTATGTTTTCTGTCAAGCGGGTGGAAGAGAATAACAAAGGAAGAAAGAATATGTTAAAAGTTGAGATACTATATTTCTATAAATATATATTTATCCATATTTATGCTGCAGAGTTGAAAACTGCCAAAATCAGAATCATGGAACCACATAAGATGATCAGAAGTCGAGAGACATCCCTGACTTAATTTGAGAGGAATTGCAGAAAGTTAAAATGTGTGATTAGGCCCTTGTTAAGTTCCTTTATATTGACTTTGTCTGAACACTTTAATTGGCTATGCTAATTAAAAGGATATGTTAATTAGAAAAAGAACTACCTAATGAAATTCACCTTAATGTGAAAAAATGATATCGTAAGAAAATGCTTTAATATATGTTTAACAGGTCAGTGTGATACCCCTGTCACAACATTTATCAACTCGACACTGACCAACAACAATCAACAAATGCCATTCAGGGTAATGTTAATGTGAATCAGGTCTGTTGTTAGTCTCATCTGTGTGACCTGGGTATTTGAGATACTTTCCACTTGCTTATTTTAAGAATGGTAGGTACAAAGTCAGTCATTCAACGAAATGAACTTGGTTCCATTGCGCTTGACGGGTACCTACAGCCAAGCCTGCCATTTCATGTGACCGAACATGACTTAATCAGACAATTTTGATGAACTTAGGGTCTTCCAGAACGTTTCTGTGAGAAATAGAGATTATTCTGATCTCTGAAAGTATTTGCGAAATGACAATCTATCGATCAAGATATGGGGGATTTATGATGAAGATATATGCACCATTTTCTGCCACCTTCCATAGTCCTGTTTAGTCCTATTATTCACTGATAACAAGACAGCAGCAGAAAATCAGGATAAAGGACCTTCAGTAAACTGCCTACATTTATGTCCATGTTCAGATAGGCCTGCATTCTGGCTTGCCCAATGCAATATATGAAGCACCAAGTGTTGACCTCTTTTAGTTATTATACATTTCTGTTTTTCTGTAATGAATAAACAAAGTGACTTTAAGACATGAAATGAAAATGAGAAACCAATTTTTGGACAAGGCTTTCATGTATTCATGTAGTTACAGAATTATGGTTATATTACAGGATTAAAGAGGTTTGCATCTGTTACTCAATAAGTCATTGGACTAATTCTATCCACTTTAATAGTCAGGATTTAAAACTCAGTTAAGGCTAGTACACTTTTTTTAATACTAGTACCTAAAGTCCTGGATGCCTAATGATAGGTAATGAGTCCATTGCTTCGTAATAAAATTGAATTCTCATTGCTTCCCTTCGATAACTATAGCTGCAAAAGTATAAAGGTGTGTGTTTTTTATAAGCTGAATTGGGATCCACGCATGTGTGTAAATCTCATTTCTAGAGAATTCCCAGAAATCAACTCAAAAGCCAATGATGATTTAAATTTAAAGTTCAATTAATGCTAGAGTGTCTGATGTATGCAGATCAAGAGTGTAAACTATGACATCATTAGATGAAACAGCTTTGCCAATATTTTGGTACAGCACATTGCCACCTTCATCACAGAATGTATATTTTCACCAGTGTATAGAACTGAAGTCAACAGTAATATGTAAATTGTTGATGAGATGATTTGAAATTTATACAACTCTTTTTTTTTTCTCATGTTGGGTTTTTTGCAGAGAGCAGTCATTTATTATTCAAAGCTTTTCTGGCCAATGGTATAATGTATGTAAATAGAAAACCCTAGCTCAGGTTATCGTATCTTATTTACAAAAACTTCACTACAGTCTCTTTTCCCCTTCATTTTATTTATCATACATTTTATTATTATAAACTCTATGAGTGGGCCTATCGTAGTTCGGAAAATCTTACTAAATTCTGCCAAAAGTAGGAACAAATCTGAACTTTCAGAGGCTGTGAATTTTACTTGCATGATACTTGAACAGGAAGAAATATCTGTTAATTTCATGAAAGTATGAAAACTTGTTATTTCTTGTTAAAAAAACATTTGAGCAATGAGAAAATGGTATGATACAAATTGAGTCAAATCAAGAATTCTCATTTTTCAAATATTGTATCGTAAAGAACAAAAATGATGAAAGAATACCCAAACTTCTGTTTAAGAAAGGATAACATTCTGAGGCTAAAATCATTTTAAAGATGGAATAATAATAGAGAAATTAATGCAAATTGCCAACGATTTTTAAATGCTAGTGAACCTTATCCCTTAGCAATTTTCCAATTTGAATCGAATACCGCATTTTCTCTATTTGAATAATACGAGTCATACAGAGAGAATGTCATGACATTTCACTCAGGAGGTCGCGATTTTAAATTTCGCTGCTTCCCCCCCCTCCCCCCCCCCCCCTTTGCTGTTGCCAATGTTATTTATTATTTAAATAGTAGAAACTATTTGTTATTTGTTATGGTGCTAATTCTAGAAGGTGACAGCACATATTTTTAGAGGCATTCCATGGGGAAGGGAGAGGGAGAGAATGAAAAGAATGAGTGAAAAGTAATTTGTACAGTTAATTTTAATTATTTTTTATGTTGAGCATCGAGGGATGGTATTCTTGAAGTCTGTTTTTCCTGTTTTCTTTTGATTGTTAAAAGCTTTTGAATCTGTTGTTCCGTCTGATTTTTTTTATGTGATGTGAAAACAGTGTTTAAAAAAAGCCTTGTTAACAGTCTATCTTGAAATGAAAATGAAATCTTTTGTTTACATTTGATGAAATGTATTTTTTTTTTTTAAATAGTTGAATATTGTTGGTAGATTGGTCGGTATAAGTGTTGGTATTGGAAATTGTTCTGTCAATTGAGATGGTCTTTTTTTTCTTGTAATATGTTTTTTTAAATAAAATAAATAATAATATTTTGTATATGGTTTATAACCGGAACAAAATGGCCGATGTTGAATACCTGTTTAACATTTTAGACCATAAACACCTTCATGGTATCCTAAAGCACTGCCTGCGTTAACCAGAAATGCCAATGTACCGCAATAAGCTAGAACACTCTTTCCTATGACGTGACATAAGTCCGAAAACTTGTTACAAACTCATTGTTTGTCCTGTGAGTTGACTTGAAACTTATAGCAAAGCTCAACAAAACAACTCAGTCCATCAGATCAAGGGAAAGTTTATTCTTATTCTTCTTGAATACTGTTAGTCATGCTCAGACATAACATGGTAAGCCATCTTTTTTTTTTAAAGAGCTGTGGCAACATAAATTTTACGCGCAAGTGAATAGTTGGCATAAAGAAAAAAAAGTTGCTGCACGCTAGTTTGCAAGCACAAACCTTTGTCAGTCGTTGTGCGTAAAAATGTATGCACTGTGAGACTATGACGACTACATTGTCTACTGCACACCATAGGCTCTTTACTTCAGCTGCTTCTGACAAGGCCGATTGATAGAGCTTAGGCTCTGAGCGGCTAACGTAATCCGACCAAAATCACTTACACTGAATACCCGATCTCCGAATATAGATCATCTTAATTTGTTTATGTTTTTAATCTTGTAATTCCAGCAATAATAGAAGTATCGTTTACTCTTCTCTCGCAACAACTCTTTTTCTGTCTTTTTCTTTTGTATAGTAAACATGTTCAGAAGATTGCATAGTTTTTAATTTAATTTTTTAACATTTCATTTTAATAGAAGCTTGGTTGGTTCTGCTATCTTATGTTATGTCTTATCATATGTATGTTTTGTGTAATCAGCTGTCCAGAACCTGAAGTATTCATTCTTTAAAATTGTCTAATTTTTTTTCTCACTATGCCATGCACTATGTACACACACACAATTAGTAGGAACGTTACTGAATGAAAACCTCTTTAATCTCAATTCCCACATGAAAAATGAAATGTGAAGGAGGTTTCATTCATATCCTCTTGTAATAAAAACATTGCATTCACTACTGAAATGCTCAAAAAGAAGGGAGCTGTTTTCCTCCCTCTTTTCTCCCTCTCTGTTGTACAAAGAAATTTGTAAATGGTGTTGTAGAATGCTCCATTCGTTGGTTTACGATCAATATGCAATATAGTTACTATTTATGGGCCATCAATTTTTTTTTCTTCATGTTATTTTTTTTTTTTTAAATCTTCATTTGTAGATTGTGATATTAATACTACCTGAAAGAAGCCAGATTCACTCCCATTGTATTATACACATCATTTGATGACAAAAAAGTAAAAAAATAAAAAAATGTGGGCGACCAGGTGTCGTTTAACTCACTGTGTAGAGAAGCACCAAATAAAATCTGGTTGCCTCATGCCTTTCAAACATCGGACTGTGCGTCTGTTTTTATGATGTTGCCTTTACAGAGTGACCGGTGATGAGAGAAAGATAGATGAGCCAAAGTATTAAGAAGAAGGATAATGAGAAGGTTGAGAGAGAAGAATAGATGAGAAGGTGATGAGCTCGAAAGTGGAGGAGGTTTTTATGCCTCCGTTACGAAGTATCCGGAGGCATTATGTTTTCGGGTTGTTCGTCCGTCTGTCCGTCCGTCCGTCCGTACGTCCCGTTCTCGTGATCGCGTTATCTCAAGAACCGACTGATGGATTCCTGCCAAACTTTGGGTCATGTATGTAACTTGCAAAGCCAACGAACTGATTAGATTTTGGGGTCACAGGGTCAAAGTTCAAAGGTCACAGGTCTCGTTATGTATGCAAAAATGGCTCATGATCGTGTTATCTGAAGAACCGATTAATGGATTCCTGCAAATCTTTGGTCATGTATGTATCTTGCAGAGCCGATGAACTGATTAGATTTTGCGGTCACGAGGTCAAAGGTGAAAGGTCACAGGGCTCATTATGCATGCAAAAACAGCTCGTGATCGCATTATCTCAAGAACCGACCGATTCCTGCCAAGCTTATATCATGTATGTATCTTGCAGAGCCAATGAACTGATTAGATTTGGGTCACAAGGTCAAAGGTCACAGGGCTCATTATGTATGCAAAAATAGCTTGTGATCACATTATCATTAGAACAGATTGATGGATTCCTGCCAAACTTAGATCATGTATGTATCTTGCAGAGCCAATGAACTGAGTAAATTCTTGGGTCATGAGGTCAAAGGTCATGGGGCTTTATTATGTATGCAAAAATAGCTTGTGAACGCTTCCTCATTAGAACTGACAGATGGATTACTATCAAACTCAGGACATCTTGCAGAGCCAATGAACTGAGTAGATTTTAGGGTCATGAGGTCAAAGATCAAAGGGTCATACATGTATATGAGAAATAGCTTGTAATCACGATATTCTGAGAACCTGTTAATGGATTACAATCGAACTTGACAAATTTCTTCTGTTTTGGTTTGTAAAATTGCTCTATGACGGAGGCATCAGTTTCAACTGCGCGTAGTCGAAGTTCCATCTAGTTTAGAAATAAAGAGAAAATCTATATGGCCCAAATTTGAAGAGGTGGTTTAAATTTGTACCGTGGTTTAAACTACCTTAAAGGCCAAATCATATAAACAAGATATTTTGTAAATATTTTGCCTTCAAGTCAGCTTGCTAAAGTAAAGTGGTTGGGTGTGATTTAAATACACTTCATTGAGCTAACCTTCAACCTTCACTTATAATTCAATTACATCATATTATGAGTATGTGTAAATGCAATTATTGATTGCTAATTCCCTCTTGCTTCATCAATTTAACCTATGATATACACTGCAAATGAGTCCACAAATAGAAATCGTGGTGATTACTTTGTTCGTGTTAAGAATATCTGTCCTCAACGATTCATCAGAATCCTAAATGGTAGTAGAGCAATTAACCTGAGAGGAATAAAGTAAACTGATATTATATTATTATATTAAAAATTAATAACATACAAATACACATTAAATCAGGATGCAAACAACGCAAGAAGTACATAACTAAGACATTTTTTATTTCTGTCACACAATTGTACATTAAATAAGAAATTTGAAATATACACATATATACATAGGTTGAAATACTACACACGATATTTACACTTATTTGAATACCATCAAATTATGTCTTGTTTCTTCTCTCCCCTTTCTCAGATAAGCCAAAAGAAGTTTTAACTTCATCATAATATATAAAATATATTTCTTCTATGCCTCAGTATTAATCTCTTGAGAACTTTTGCAAAAAAAGTAGGTATGGATAAGCAATATACCCACAAAGTATTCATATACAATCTTAGTCCTACCTTTTTAATGACAAATTAACAAAATAATCTTGATCTATGAATAATATGAAGGAAAAAAACTAATGGATTACTCATCCAGAGTTCAATTGGAATTTAAAACTTTTTCATTATTCAAGAAAGTCAGTTCCCTATTTTCGAGTTCCTAAATTCAAGGGAGAATTCCTGTTCATAGCTTCTATCATCTTCTCTATGATGTACTTTGCACAATTATGAACATGCCTTAAATGTAGCCCTGTAGAAGAATAAATACCAGGAACCTATCAAGAAATGGAATGTTTGTAGCCATCTTAATAGTCAATGATAATGCAGTTTTCTTGTATATTTATACAGATACATGGTACCTCTATACATCTGATGAGGTAAATTCAGATGTAGATCTGTCCATACAGTTTAAATGAAAACTTGTGAATCAACGATGCACACAGCAAATGACCAACTCTTGCAACAACAAAAACAGATATGATCTGCCAGTGGTAGAGCAAATGACATGACATAAGCTTAATTGTCTGAACCAATATGCCCTCATGTTTGTGTCAACTGTAATCTGTTATTAGACAGCTACTGAAAAAAACAATTATAAAGACAGAAAAGCGAGCGGAATTGCATTTCCTAAAGAAGAAAAAAATCTATGGATAAACATGAAAGCACAGCTACATGTCATATAGAAATAATAAAAATATCTGTAATGAGAATTTAAAATTTGGCAATGTATAGAGAAATTACTTCCAACATCATTCTCTGAATCAGTATGAACAAAAATATTTCCTTGACAAGACAGAAGCTAGCGTATGAACTGGGCCCTGATTCATAAAACTTGTTTTTTTTTATGCTAAATTTCTATGACAAATTTGCTCTCGGCCAATCAAATGCCACAATTTCAGTAGCTTCTAACAGTTAATGTAACTTGTTATCGATAGCAATTTTTATGAATCAGGATCATTGATTGTAAAGTAATTTGAATGATTTCCTGCTCAATGGATGGACAAGCCCTGTCGATTAGCATGGTGATCAATGTTATTCCATGGGAACCAGAAGTCTGAATAATATCTTTCATTAAGAAAGAAAATTGTGAGTTTGAGGGGGGACGGGGGAGATAATGATAAAAAAAATGGGTGCTTTCCTGGAGCCGACAGCCATCCTCAGCTACGCCTGCCACACTGAATACTTGGAGTTGTTGGTCAGTCTTGACTGAGCCCTACGACTTGCTCACTATACTTGTGTCTGATTTCTGCGTGGAGATTGTTTGGTCCCATTCTGTCTGAAGCTCGGATGAGACCTCTGTGAAGAGATGGTCCCAGTCCCACGGTTTGTCTTCTTCCATCACTTCAGATTCAGCCGATAAGGCTTTGCTCAGGAGCTTCAGATCTATCTCATTGTCCTGCCAATTTGAGGATCAAATACAAACACAAAAACAAAACAAATATATATTAGTAAGTGCATGCATTACACATAATTTTATTCAGATGAAGAAAAACTCTAATAGTGCTAATATCATTACATTATCCAAAGAAATCAATTCATTACCACATACAAGAACAAAAACTTTCTGTGAATTTCTCTAGTCCATTTATTTTGTGAGGATCTTCTACAAATTTATGCAAGAATGTGTGATGTCTCTTTTGGTTTACTAGGGTTGACAAAGCAAGAAATATGCAGGTATCTCAATGGAGTCCATTCCAGTACAAAGGGTGGTCTTGATAACCAGAGTAGCTAGGCAATGTTCAGGTGTACCGAACTATACAGACTCTTTGTTGTTAGATTTTTTCCTTTGGTGTGGAAGCTAAAAAGCATAATAAGCTCACTCTGATATTTTCTTTTGGAGAGAGAGGATTGCTTGCGACAAAGCATCAAGTTCATAGGGGATTTTTGCTGGCTCATGCATGCAGGAGGGTATGGTAGTCAACCCAGTACCAGGACTGATATTCCCCTCTTCTTGGAAGCCAAAATGTAAGTTGTAGTGCTTCACTTGTATTTCATTGAAAAACGTGATATCATTGGTTCATAGTAGCCCCCCCCCCCCCCACCACCTTTTTTGGGTTTATGATTGCTATAGAAGTTGATTATCAACATCAACTCCATACTATCTATCCATGTTCTACTAACCACACATAGCTGCATTACTAGCCTGGCTGTGTATTAAAAGCTGTGCTATTGATTCTCAATATTTCAAACACCACTGTACAAAACTCAACTGAATTTACTCGAAATCAGTACTTTAGTGACAATTAATGACACCTAAATAGCAGTAAAATACCATTTTTTAAACTTACTGATGTTAGGAAGAAGAATTTTAAAATTCAAATTGTAAGCCTACTGACAAACTTGCCGATCAGCCGCATCGGCATCATTGTGTGCATTTGGGTGTTATTTGTGTATTGACTATTTGTGTTTGCAATTGCTGCCTATTATAGCACACAGTGCAGCGCTAGAGGTCAATACGCATTAGCATTGACTCTCTATGCTTTGCTGGAGTGTCCATGTTCTACTAACCAGTGTGAGTAGCTGTGAGTGTTTGAGAAGATCATTGTCCAGCTCTCTGTAGGTGATGACCCTGTTGACCGGTACACTGGGTGGGGCGGCTATCTGAGTGGCCATATCCTCCTCCTGGACATCATCAAGGTCTGGGATGACCGGCATGTCTGAAAAATGACCAGGATATAACATTAATGATAGTGTCAACATTTATAGAGCACTCAATATCAATTTTGTAGACCTATTAGATATCTTTTCCCCTGTCGTAAATATACACTTCATGCAGCAACTGAAGCAGGCAACTTGGCCAAGTTACCCCACTTATTGAATCATATCATACCATGAATAGAGAGAAGCCTTACAGAAAAAATTGCCTTGCTCAAGAACTTATAGACTTGCCAAGGCTGGCATCCATAACCTTAATCATTTGAGTGTTCTGCTAACTCAGCTGACACTACCCCCCCCCCCCCAACATTAACATTGCACTGTGAATAGGACAACAATTGCTTGATAACTATCTGTCCTTTTTATTTTTCCTCTTATCTCTGTGCTCCAAAAAAATAAGTTGATTCTTTTTCATGTTTACTGATTTTGCCTTGATATTTTGACACCAGTTGTTTGCTCATCAGGAAAACATTAATATGTTCCACTTCATATATACTTACCATCATCGGAATCATGCGCCTTGGATCTGCTTTCCTGTTCTACTCTATCACTATAAAATAGATAAAGTAATATTTATTATAACTATTGATTCATGTAAGCCTAAGCATTGGTCTTCATGTTTTATCATATCTCTGTAAATCCAAAATGAATAACAAGGTAACAATTGTAGACAAGAATGTATAGCATACACCTGGTCGCCCACATTTTTTTTTTTTTTTTACTTTGTTGTCATCAAATGGTGTGTACAATACATGCCTGATTCAAAAAACAAAAACAAGGCGAGTTTAAAATTTGGTACATTCCCTCCCCCCCCCCCCTTCTTCATGGAGCACTTATCGCATATTGAGACAAACAGAAAGACCTCTATAGATATTTCTTCTTCTTTATTTTGTTCAACTATAAAAGAAGTCAAAGATATGAAACAATTTTCAAATATGCACATACATGAAGTATTTTACGAAGTTGCATAGAAAATAAAGAAACATAGATTTTCAACAAAAAAACAAAAGAGAAAAGCAATACAGAAAACATATATTCAGAAGGATAGATAAGAAAAGTTCGTTTGTTTGTTTTGTTTCATTATTTTTGTTTAGGTTGAATTATTCGTACCTTTAACACTTCTAAGCAAACTTTATACCCTATAAAGAAGTTTGAAAGGCTAGAATGACTATTTGTTTATATTTGCTAAGTGTAGTTTGCGCAAATATAATTAGGAAGATAACAACATGCACATTGTCAGTATAACAATGAAGAATACATGTATGTAGGTACAATGTACATGTAGGCATACATGTACCGGTATATGTAAATGTAAAACATGGATCATTTCAATACCACAATGTTCACAAAAAAGGGTCTAAATCCTCTAAATGCTTTATACTACATTTTATTTCATTTTTTTTCTATCTCACAAATATAATTCTGAAAACTGAATTCATGCATGCACAGATGAATTTCAGATAAACTTGAAGGCATCGACTGTAGTAAGAAAAGAGAAGAGATATATGAATAGGATTAACTGGAAATAGTTTGGCAAAAAGGGAAATATTACCACTACTCCATGCAAGAAATTATATGCATGAAGAACACTGAACACAACACATTACATCACATCAAAATAATGTATGCTTCATATCAATAAGAATATAAAGTGCAGAAATCACTAAAAAGTCTATAATGTGAAAAATTGAGACCCTCAAGGATCATGCATTTATTTATATCTCTCATACTGTGTTTCCATGGAAATATGATGATGTAAGCATGAGCAACCAAGTGCATATAAAAAGGCATTATAGTGATTTCAAAACCATTCAACTATTATTAACACATCTGAATTGATGTGAGGACACGTTCTTGTGAATGAGGAAAGGAAACGAAATAGGTTGAACAGCACTCTAGCAAAACGTTAGTGAACAATGATGAAATCTTAATACATTAACAACAAAAATGAAACTGAGAGGAAACATTCTTGTGAATGAGGAAAGGAAACAGAAAGGCTTAACAGCACTCTAGCAAAAATGTTAGTATGCAAAAACGAAATTTTTGTACGTGAAGTCGGACAAACAAACATATTCAACATGTTATCTTCTGAACATTTAAACAAATAATAGAAGATCTGTAAAATTAAAGTTACTTGAGATTCTATGTATTATACAACAAAAAAGCACACAGCAAACACAATTCTGAGACTGAACAACTCAACTCCTATTTGTCTAGACAGGTAAACTTACTTTGCTGAAAATGCTTCCAATTGATCAACGTTTCCACTATGAATTTTTAGTGAAAATTCAAGCAATTAAAAAAAGAAATACAGTCATATTTTACCTAAAAATGGGTACAATTGCTTTCATTTAGATAATTAGACATCATTTTACATTTTATGGATCTTACTAATCCCATAACAAGGAAAATTAATGAATTTGAGTTGGACAAGTATAAAAAATAACGAAGATAAGCATATAAGTCAGCATATATTTGCATACTAGCAGGTCAAAAACTTTAATGCAATATTCTGTATTCATTTGGGGAGAGATGCACATGAACAAGTAGGAAAATAAAAAATGATGAAAATGACATGAACCACAATCGATGGCATGCTGACCAACAATTACGTTATCAAATGGACCCCAATGGATCCTGGTTCAAAGGTTACCATTCCCATATAACATGTCTGATATGGTCAGAAATCCATAGGAACAAGCAATACATTCATCAAGATACTAATCTTCCAGTTAGACATGCACAAACCTCAAACACATACAAACAAAATCTTACACAAGTACCCTGTACTTATACTAGAGTGCATTCACTGCATTGGCTAGTTTTTATTCTGCATTAATCGTATATATCAATACCCATTCCAAGGCTTCTACTTCATCAATATCATGCTTTTTTTTTGGTGAAGACAAATCAAAGGTTACTAATCTCAGACAAGCGCTGAGAGAATTAACTATAATTCCAAATGGTTCTTCTCAGAAGCTTGATAAAGGAGCACTCCTTTTAATATATCCAGATAACAAATCTTACATAACATCTTTACATGGCCGTATAAATAGTGGACTGTTAATCCATTTGGCTAAGATGGTAAGGAGGAATAAAAATGATCAATGTTTAGTAAGAGAAAAACTAATGGTAAATTTACAATGAAATATTTGGATATCTATTTTCTTTTTTTTACTTACATAAACTGCAGTACAAATATCCAGAAGATCAACTTTCAGTTGGAACTTTTTCCATGAATTCCTAGTATAACCATTGTCACTGACTCACCACCCATATTAAATTGCTTCCCTTTACTTTTGGATGATTTTCAACATGTTTATATTATTTAACCCATTGAATATGATATGATTGTAACTATAATGTGATAGTAACCAACATGAAAAGGACATGTGACTTACCGGCTTCTTGCAGGTTTGGGGGCGTCGTCACCCCATCCCATCTGCCTCCTAGGGGGGCGGACTGGACCATCTTGAGATGCACCCTGGAGGAGGGGGGGGGGGGCAAAGACAAAAATGACAGGAATGGTCAGTACGTGGTAATGGGGTCATAGATAGGGATAACAGAAAGAGGGGGGCAGAGGAATGATTACACAGAGATCATGGAAAAAGAAAACAGTGAGAAGAACAGAGATGGGAGGGGAGATAAAGAGGGGAAAAGAAAGGGAAGGTCAAAAAGAACTCCTACTTACATGTAAGTAGCTTGATACTCTATCACAAATTATCTATATCACTTTTTAAGGCAATGACTAAAGGTGGGTACTACACATTCCTATCTGATCCAATTACATTAATAAGTTGCTGCTGGTCAATGGATTGCTATTACAGTTGTTATCGATATTCACAATGATTTACTTGAACTCAGTTCATCATTATACTCAAGAATTAAGCTAGTCCAAATATAAACATGCTGCAATATGATTGCACATTAGTATTGCCCTTAGGGCCAAAAGACAATCAATTTTTTATTTTCCAAGTGTATTTATCAGTATTTCCAACCTCAAGACCAGTCATTACATAAGAACACAGACAACAAATGAAACAGCTTCCTTATTGAATCAGCAACCTTTTGATCTTACGCTTTTCATGACGAGTTTGGCAAATTCTTTCTGAAAGAAGAAGTCGATTGATGCCATTATGTAAAGGAACAACACCAGCCTCCAATCCAGGCCACATGCTGAAATCATTCCATTTCTCCACCGCAACAGCTAGAGCATTCAGTCCAGAAAACAGCTTCCCCGAACCAAGGCAACGGTAAAAATGAAGCTCGATATACATGTACTTGTTATCTAGCAAATCCAGTGCAGTTGCACCGACACACACACACACATTAAATCACCCTGATAAGGCTTAGCAAAGAAGAAAGGCAAACACTTCAACTAGACTGGTTACTGCGATCATGATAAGACATCCTCCTTTTATTTTTAAAGAATTATTAAGAAGCTCTATAGTGTTGAATTCTTCTGCTGTCTGGCTGTTCGCTCATTGTGTTGCCAAGAACTGCTTGTTGTGATCTTATGTGCAGTGGCCTTACAGTTACATCACAGTCCATTGTGTGTATGCTTTTCATTCAAAATGACAAAGCATTGATGTTTAGATGATCTGCCACAAAGCCTGGCAGACCACCTACATATTGATTTTCTTCAGAATCTTTCTTTTTCTATTCTTTCAGTATGAATTTTGTTACGTGGATATCTCATGAACGGCATGGTGAATGACCATAGAACTTTCATGGCGTGTGGCTTATGCATGATTATTGAGCCTAACAAAGAGGGTTTTTTTTTTGTATTACTCATGCGTGACGTCATCTAGGCGCCATTTTGTTAATTTCCAATATTTACCATATTTCTGAATGATATTTGATATATGCATAATCTTGAGGTCATGGGTAAACTTTTGGTCACAACCATGTCCGTGCGTGCTTCAGAGCGGACGTGTACGCGGTTGTCAACAATTCAAATTGGTCAAAATGCTTATTGGACCAATTTACTACAGGTTTCAGACCTTTTTGAAAATTTCAAAATTGTGCGTGTGCCGTCCTTACTGATTTTGTTACTTGTATTGTGTTGCTGATACTGTTCTTAGCAATTTGAAATCACTTTTAGCCCTTATCGACCTTCATTTAGCTTGTAGACATTAATTTAACCTCAAAATTGATGCACACACGCTTTTGCAAACAAGGCCAAAAGAGGGCAAAAGAGAACCGATACCTATTTTTAATCCGCTATAACTCTTCAGAATGGCTGGTGACCCCCAATTTTTTTTCTTCATGTTCTGATAGGGTATGACTTGGAGATGCGATTTCATGTAACACGTTTGCTATTAGAATGCTTTGACGTCAACATAGTGCCACATAAAGGAAAAAAGTTGAATTTGATTCGATTAGGTAAAATTTGCTGTTGCTGTTTTGAATATATCTCGTCTATCCCTAATCTGATGTCTCCGATACTTAATTCTGTTGTAGCTAAAACCTAACTTTACAAATGTACAATGAATTACATTTTTTATCAGAAGGCTACATTGTGGTCAAAATTCCAATTTAAGGTGAAGAATCTGCCATTATGGTGTGTACATATACAAGTAGGTATTATATCTCCCACTGAGTTTGTGTAATATTTCCGTCATGGATAGTCTACACGTTTCAGACCTTCTCCTTGTATGTGTTATACGAATGGAGGATGGGAGTATTTTTCAAAGTCTGAATTTCACTCTCACTCTGTGTTATTAGGTGATCGACCGCCTCGTGTAGCAAATCTCCTAATGAGTGTAGTCTTTCAACATTCTCTCTCCCTCTCTCTCTCTCTCTCTATCTCATCGCTTTCCTTGCTGCTCTGTACGATTCGATCATCCGATATATTCATACAATATACAATCATAACATGTACTTTATGAATTTTGTTGTTTGTTCACCTACTTCTGTTTCTATATCCTTGATTACTAAATGAGCTTGTACATATAGGCGTGTTATGTAAGTAGAGGGTGGAATTTTTTTTTAAAGACCATAACTCTTATTGCTTTTCTACATGTGACATGTCTCGATCAAAGCAGCAGATCACCTAATTCGTCGCTGTGACAAATTCAATGTCTAGTTGCTTTTAGATATTGTGTTACAATGAGGAACAAATTTATTTACGGCAGCACTTCTGGTCATTAGAATAACAATGGGGATATGTACTGATTAGTGATATAATTGTATTTGAGAGAACACAAACAAAGTGGATTTCATTCAATTCCTTGGAGAATGGAGATAATATAAAATAAAGAATTCTGCATTACAAACATTACTGTACTAACTGGATAGATGTTTTAAAATGTCCATCATTGGCAATAGATCAAGAGATCATAAGTCATAACCCCTTTAACCAAGATCAAGTTTTCCTTAATTCATGGTTTAAATGCATTGCTCTATCATATGAGTAGCAACTACATATCGTTATGTACATTTATGAATCAATCAATGAAACTGAAGAACCAGTGTAAATTTCTCAAACAGAAGCAGTTTAAATGTTTCACATTATGATTTCACCTCAAGCACTTTCCTTCAAATATCACCTTCTCTCAAGTCTCAACTATGAGGATAGATTTTTTGGGGGAATCACCCATTTTCTGGTTATCTTATACATATAGGAGACCCTCCCAAAGTTGCATGAAACTTGGGATAAAATAGACAAAACAGGATGAACATGACTTGGATAATGAATTATTCATTTGCTGAAAAACAATATGTATACATGTACATACCCTATATGTATCTATATTACACAAAAATGTTGTTTACTTGTACATGCACATGCATGAATATATATAGCATATAACTTAAGCAATCTATCATTTTAGTAGTAATCAACGATAATCTGAGCAACGTGTACAGTACGTAGAGACGGTAGACACTGCCTTTATGATTATCCTTCCAATGGGGGTAAGATTAGGGGTAAACCTTGATTCTTTTTACCTGGTTCTCTGACGGAGGGGGGTGTCCTACCAAATCCTCTGCTGACTCGTCCCCTCCGATGTCCCCATTAGACTGGCTGGCGGCGGCGGCGGCGGCTTCTTGGGCTGCCTTACGTGCTCTGCGGCCCTGCTTTGCATTCTGTAAGATTAGAGATTAAGTGGTGATTAAAAAGGCTGTGCTGCCCTCTATTGACAATAAATATTTTGTTGAAGTACTTGACTGTATTAGGGAAAGGTCCATCCAATGATATTGAAATGAAGATCAATGGTGATCAAATTGTATACATGCATTCTAATTTCTTTTACATCATAATTAGTTAGAAAACCATTCTCTACAAAATGTCAATATATCCAGTTGATCCTGTAAGCTACATGTACTTGTCCGCTAATTGTTTAACGAAGCCCTCTTTGCCAAAATCAAGGACAACATCCTGACTAAGTAGTTATGGCACCTCCGACCCTGTCATATCTCTGTCATAACTTTTTAGTTGATGGGCAGTGCCATCACATGTCATTTATTGGGTAGACTATGGCTAGCAAAAAAAGGACAAGAAATCCTCTAGCTATGACCTTTCTACCCATTCACTACCAGTATTTAAAACAGGAAGTTATCCTTTTTTATAAGATGATGATGACGTAGATCCTAATCAAATGATTGGTTGAAAGCGTACACGTGACCAGGCATTTATTTTGCCTAACGCGTAATTTGGGTAATGACCGGTCATTACCACATCTAGCTAAAATTAGCGCAAAATAAGCGTGACACAAGTCGGAGGTCTAATATTAGACGCGCGCAAGGCAAGGTACGCCTCAATTTGCGCTTATTTTAAACCATGGGTTATGTAAATGAGAATTTAAACCATGGGTTAGATTTAAACCTCCTTTGTGAATTCGGGCCTTTGAGTTTGAGATGAGGGCGATTGATCAAATAACAAGGATCCACGTTATAATTTTATAAAACAAATAATACACCTCATTTTGTTCAGGCATTAGTATAATTACCCGCACTTGGTACCTTTGAAAAAGTCTAACATGCCTGCGGCTATCGCCTCGGGTGTGTTAGACTTTTCCAAAGGTACTTTGTGTGGGTAATTCTTATTAATGCCCTCACTGCTGTGTATTATTTGTATAATACATGTATATTGAAAATATAATGAAAATATGCCATGTTTGTAAGGCTTTTTCCACTTAACTAAACTGATTATACACGTTTATTTTCACAATGCAAAATCCTTGAAGGGATGGATAATCTGCCATGTAAGCCAGCCATAAGTATATTCTCTAGTTGTCAGACCATATTATTTTTGAGATAAATTCTCCAAATGTGAAAACTGAATATGGTAGTTTAAAACATGTGTTTTAACATTTGGAATATTGACATTTTGTTGAAGCTTAAAACATTTGTCAAAACTTTCATAGCACTGTAAACACTGTATTATAATCAGGGGTGTATTTTTGTATAAACTATCATAAACGTGGACGTAGAAATGAAAATACAGTGTATATAGAGGTACAACAACAAAAACTCAAAAACAAAACTGATTTACTGTACTGGTCATGAAATGAAATACTCACAGTAGTATTTTACAAAATATACAAGTAATTCTAAATATAATCTACACAAACTTTGAAGTATTTTGCATCTTTTCTCTTCATATTCCCTGGTACTACTTTCAATCGTTTTTATTCCCAATTCATTTAAATAATTGCAGTTTTCCTAAAACTATTTTTTTTTTTTTTAATCCAGTGGAGTTGCGACTAAGGCTATGTCTTGGCTCTCTTCTTGCAGATACTGAGATAGAATCTAGTATACAAGTACATACTGCCATGAGAGGCTCTGGGTAGTTTTATTAATCCAGAGACTTGAATAAAGGGAGTAGCTAGTCTATATTTATATATTTGTTTCATATAGTAAATGTCATTGTTTTTTCATTGATTGGTTAAATGATTTTGCTGTAAAATTAAATCTAAGAGCTCAAACTTACCCGCTGTAGCCAGTCAAAAAGTACTGCTGTTTTAATTTTTGCTAGCTGTAAATAGAATAGGTCTAGATCTACTAGTAGTAGGCCCCAGTAGTAGTACTTTTTTGCAAAATAGTTTTTTTTTATCATGTGACACACTTTTAACCAATCAATTAACAAGAATATATGAATGATGTATATAATATTGCTTTCACAAGATGTCTAGCTATTATCATTAAGCTCTTCGTGAAACAGTTTGCCGTTTAGAAAGATCAGAGACAGTATAGTTGCTAACTCCAGGAAGCTTCGACACCGAAGCTTCAGTGCGACATCTGAAACAAAAATCAAACAGCGGTTGTGGCGACATTTTCCCCGAAGTGTGTAGATCTAGTAATTACAAATTCTGACTTACCATTAAACTGATTTATTCAGTCACGTGGTAAGTGGAACCGTCGTATAATAGCCTAGAGGTCTAGGCATAATTTTCAAAATAGAATAAATCAGTCTATCAGTATCACTCTATGCATGACTTTGAGCATGATGAGGTAAAATGAAATTTTGCCATTTTTGGGGGCATAAAATATGCCCGTATATAAATGGCCAT